AACACTCAGCAGGTAACAGTTGCTCAAAGTACACAGAGCTCTGTAAAACCAAATGTATGGAAATTTGAAATCTAGCAACATCTAGCAACTGACAACACAAAACCAATAGGACCAAACATGCAGCAGAGCAAAAGCACTCCTATGCCACTTTGGCAAATGTTGACCCAGGTTAAACCATTTTTACCCAAACACCTCTCCTTCTTTTGTCAGAGCCCTCAATTTTATCATGCAGGGCTAATATGATATAAAGCCTTCTGGGTTCTTTTTTTTTATTTATAAGGGTGATCTCAAAGAGATGTAGGAGAGGGCAGGGTTCATACACATCTTTGCCATTACATTCCATGTCTTAGAGGAAAATGTTCATGACCATAAATTCTCTGAAATGTTGTGTAAACATAAAAAATAAGTTTAAAAATCAATGTCAAAATGAATTGAACAAACGTAATAACAAGCAATGTGTGGTTATGTGGCATGTCAGGTTGTGCTCACTACGTTGCTCTCTGTCACGTTCTCACACACCAGTGTTGTAGGCGAGTCACCACACCCCCAGTCCAAGTTGAGTTTGAGTCACCAAGAAAGAATCTGAGTCAAGACCAAGTTGAGTCCCCAAAGTCTGAGTCCTCAATGTTGAGTATGAGCCGAATGGTCTTCAGTTCTCCACTTAAGCACATCAATGTTTTTATTCAATTTTATTAAGAGCTTCTAAGCTGACTTTTAAATCTATATTATCTGCCAGTCTTTGTATTTATACTGTACCGAGGTTTTAGAGGATGCAATCTTTTAAAACACAAGGCCAAATCATCATTAAATTATTATAAATGATGTAGAGCGATGCAAGCTTTGCAGCTGATTTCTATATTGTGTGGTATGAATGTTAAATTCACCTATTTTCTTTTTTAAAAAATCAGAGAAGATGTTTACAGCTGCTGTCAATGTGCCCATATGTGCAGTGATGACGCTGCAGCAAATATCATGGGGCATTAAAGCAGTAAAACTAAAAACAGTTTTAACCTGTTTTTAGTTGACAGGACAGAAGAAAATCTTCAGAAAGAACTGATAAACTTAAAGCATTTAAAACAACATCTGCTCTGATGAAGCTCAGGATATAAAGAAGGCCACTGTTTCACTCCAAAATATTTCACTTGTGTGAACCTCGACTGACTGCAGAAAACACTTTTCATTTTTGAACATTAGATATTGACTTAATCTGTCAGCATGTCTGAAATTATAAATGAAGTGACATTGCTGTGCGTGGTCTATAAAGGTACATGTGTATCATTTAACAGGGAGACGCAATGATAGTTTCTGCTGCACTGGCATTTAATGACCCTGTTCAACCTAACCACAGTGGTATCGATGCAATCCACCCATCACCACGTCACACAAACTGTTGCTGAATAAGTTGGCATGTGAATGCATGTGAACGCTGTGCCTACCAGCTCAAAGCAGGGAGAAAACCTCATCAACAAGAAAGACTACTCAACTTCTGTAGTTGTCAAATTAACCATGTGCTCTAAGGCAGTGGTTTCCAACTGGTGTAGCCTCCGGATCCACCACAAACTCCCTCACAAAAAATCCTGCCTTACATTTGTGATATTTTTTAACCAATAGGAATTGATTTGACTGTAAATTGTGCAGTTTGGACCTCAGACATTACAAACATGTGGCAGAAATAATAATAACAAACATGTTTGGAAAGCACATCAGACTTTTTGATGCAACTTTTCCAGGCACACACCCCGAGTCCTGACCCAACACAGCTCCACGACCCACTTTTGGGTCCCAACCCACTAGTTGAGAACCACTGCTCTACAGATTCCCTTTTAGTGTTTGTCAAGAGGCCAGACTTCTTCAAGTCTATTGTTACATCCCAAAAAAACAAAACAAAGTCATGGCACAGAAGTAGTTGGTTGTGCAATAAGCACAAGTTTGGTGACTGCATCCCCAGATCCTTCTGCGCTCATATCAAAATGAGCTTGAGAAAAAAATTAAACCAAGATTGTCTTCTGACAGCCAGGCAAGCACCTTGCTGCCATCCATACATGCAAGTGTATGTGAACATGAAGCGCAATACACAAGCAGCCATCAAATCTTAGCCTTACAACCATCCTTCAATAAACCTCAAAACTACTAATTCAGAGTGTAAAGCCTTTACTTTGACCAATAGTGTGGTTCTTTAGTTCAATTTCCACATTAAATCACACAGCAAAACAAAGCACCACTCCAAACATCTGCCTGACTTGACTTTCATGACACATAAGGGAGATAAGGCAACATGTGCAAAAGCAACACACATGGACGTCTGCAGGGAGCCAGCTACACAATAATAAACAGAGCAAAGTCTGCGGGTCACTAACAGAGTTTATTGTGCATGGCTGAGCACCCCTCTGACAGTCAGAGAAAACAAGCAAAAAGAAAAATAGAGATGTAGAGAAACCTCCGGTAAACGTCGTGTGCATGTCTCTTTCCTTAAATACTCGCCATCTGTTGACTCTGTCTGGATTTCACAGATCAGAACGTATTCTTTAAATAGAAATGGACCAGGTGTCTTCATAGCACAGCCTCATTTAAGGACTATAACAGGATAGAGAGGCAATTCAACAGAAGGATCCCTTGCAAACTGAATGAAGAGCTGTGCTTCACTATGCTGACAACCGACTGTGGGGTTAGAAAAACACATCTAATCGAAACGCATTACAGTTAATGACAACAGAAGGCAGTGTGCAGGTCTGCTGACTATCACCCTGTCCGATAAATGTATGCTTTCAGCTGAGAGGAGTGGGGAGGGGTGAAAGGGGAGCCAGGAGGAGGACTCGGCCAGCCTGGGGACACGGACAGTTGAACAGGGAGGACAGATCTAAGCTGAAATGTGGCTTTGTGGTTGCATCGTGCTCCTGAAAAATGTCCCCTGTAGTCACAACAAACAGAGGACAGCACATTGGGCTCCACTGACTGGTCTGGGTGTAGGAAATGAAGTTATATGAGGAGAGAAAGGTATCATCAGGAAGCATCTGGCATCCTCCATGGGGGTCCAGGTTCAAATGGACACTGCAGTATGTTTCCCCTCCTGTTACGGTCATCTTTTCAACCGTTCTTTTAGTAAAGACTTTAGAAGTTTGATCCTGCAACGCCCTCCCTCTAGCATTCTGCCCTTTGCTCATGGGTTATAGGTCTGTATCTGCATGTGCTGTCGTGTGAATGTATTGAAAGATGAAGTGGTCCAGAGGTCACTGCGAACAGATCATTGTACCAGTGAATGACTTACAACACAAATAACACAAACTGGAACTGGTTTGGAATAGGACAAAAAAAAAAACCCAATTTAACATACAGCATGTAACTAATTCATATCTCAATTTATTATTTATCTACAAATTATTTTTTATTAAACTGGTAAATTGTTTGATTGAAGAAATTTCCCAAGATAGTTTGATATATCTATCACAACTCCCAAGTACTCAGAGTGTCATCTCTGAAAGCGTATTTTGTAAGACCAACAGGCCTAAAAGAAATTAGCTTTGTAGGGTATAATAAAGACTAATCAGAATATCTCACACTCTAAAAAAAGAGACAGAGAGAGTTTGTGATGCTTATTCAATAAGTATCTAAAATGGTAAGTGGACTAAAATTGTTGACAGTAATTATTCCGTCTTCTGATTAACCCCAAGATCATTAGGCATGGGTTGTCTCTACAAACCAGACACCGAACAACAGCCATCAACCACAGCACATATTTTGCTTATGAAGCGGTCTCTGGCCCTAAAGCACTTCAGCCTGATAAAGACCGCCCGATTGAGCAACAAATCTCAAGATGGAGCAGGAATCTTATCTAGCAAAGATGGGGTTTCTAAGATGATAGATGCCAGTGCATTAACTCTCTCCTTATTACTGCTGAGTAATCACTCTCTCTCACTGGTTGTACACCCCAGCACTCAGGTCAGTGTGTGTGTGTGTGTGTGTGTGTGTGTGTGTGTGTGTGTGTGTGTGTGTGTGTGTGTGTGTGTGTGTGTGTGTGTGTGTGTGTGTGTGTGTGTGTGTGTGTCTACATGCTGTATCTTGCACTTCAGACCCAGCTGTGCTAGGATGAGGTATGGATGAGGGGTTGGATCAGACAGTGTGGTAAAGTACTACATTCTGCCTGTTGATTACAGGTTTTTCTACCAGTGGGACAAAGACAGAGGGCTCCTTTGGGAGTTTTGGGCTGTGATTAAGGGACTGTAAGTGGCACACATTGGCACGCTGACACTGAAGCCCAATCTGAAAGTCCTTCAGTCAGAATTGTGAGGCATATTTGACAACTAAGGAGATTGCTTAACAGAACTATAGTTGGGGATTTGGTTTCTTGGAAACTGATTGAGACGGATAAGAAACAAAAACTGTAAGTCGACTCTCTGCTTAGTTAGCATGTTGACGTTATACAGGTTGAATTACACACTCCATACATAAAATCCCATTCCTCCTGGACAACAACCCTGCAACAGGGTAGGATTCAGTATCCTACTTGAGGATACTTCAGTTAAGTTAATGTTTGCCCATTTGGGTAGGACAAGCCCTTTAGCTGGAGGATACTCTGAACAACAAGGCCAGAATACAAAAAAACAGCAATGTTGAATATTGTACAAAAGCCTAAAGTCCCACTTTTAACATCATACAAGGGCATGTATGAGCCATAAACAAATGTAAGGTGAGAATCTGCACCTTTGTAACTCAACCACTGAGTAGTTTACCTTTATGTTTTATGTCTTCTGCATTCCTAAAACAGAGAAGCCTCTGACTAATCCCCCAACCAGTTTTACTGAGCAAAGAGGAAATCATAGGAAATAAACTCAGCCATGCCAGTGACATAACTGACCTATATCTAAACTTTTTTTTTTCTCTCTCTCTCTCTTACAGCTGAGCTCATGAAATGAAATCCCTAATCCACAATGTCAGTGTGCAAAAGTAAATAGCAGATGGGAGCACAATTAAAGAGTAGGCTACATACTTCCACAAATACTTACTCAAAGGTGAAGAAAAGTCCACAAGTCACTAGAATGAGGACCAGGGTGAGGTAGAAAACCCCTGTCTGCTTGGCCATCATAATCCTCCCATCGCAGTAAAATTTATTTCGACCTGGGAAGGACTCCCACTTCCTCTTCTTTTGGGTCTTTTTCTTGTAAGGGGTCTCCATTGGTGTTGAGCTGCGAGTGCTTATTTGACTGTACTCGCACTCTCTCATGGACTCAGACACCCCGAGATGCATCAATGGCTGCTGAAAAATCTCCACAGCGGAATAAATCCCAGGGCAGCTGAGCCTCTGTGAACAGAATGAACCATTTCAGTCTTTACATGAAAAAAAAAAAAAAAAAGGCCTGGCAAGAAGTTTGTGAAGTGCCAGACAACACTTCCTGTCATTAATGGCATTAATATCTAGCATTTCATTGAAGTAGCTTGTTGAAATCAGAACTTACTTCACCCACTGTGGACACAGGAAAGCTACAACTAAAGCCCGGCATGTTGGCGAAGCTTACGCGAACCAACTTGGCCAAATAACTTCACTTGAAGCTCACATACCTTTTTAGCTTGACGTAAATAGCGCCTTTGTTAGCCAGGAACCTGGTTAGCATTTTACAGCAGCTGAATCGAAATTGCTGCTAATGCTAACATGGCTAAGCAAGTTGGAGAAATGACTGGTAACTTAATGTTTGCACGGTTTTTTGGGGTTTTTTTTTTTTTGTTCCTGCCTTACCGAAAGCAAAGTAACGCTGGTCGTCGTGTCGGGGTGTTGTCACGTAGCTTCTCCTTTCCTTATCCAGGTTTGTTTCGAACCGACGACAAAGCGAACAACACCATTTTAGAAGTTAATGTGACTTACATGAAGCCCTTAGTATCTGATGAACTTGGTTTACAAAAAAAAAAGGGGAAGGGGTATCCAGAGGAAGACCACACGATGGGCTGCTCTCAGACGAGCTCCAGCATCCTCAAGAGAGAGACACTACGAGTCTGTGCGCACACAACACGAGTCGAGCGGGACCGCACAGCACATATGTCCGAGGGTTTCACAGGAACAGACGGCGACAAATATCAAAAAAAATCTTCACCATTCAGTCGCGTTTTCAGAGGAAAAAAAAAAAAAAAAAAAAAAAAGTTGCAGCTCTCCCCCAAGAAGCGTGCAGACAGGCCAGTCTGAACTCCTCCGTGCACATCGTGTCCCTGTCTAACACACCGAGCTGCCACCCTCGCAAAACAAGAAAACATCAACATGGGAGCAGAGCAAGAGCCTCCCCGCCTGCTCCTCCCCCTCCAATCCAGGGCTGAAGTCACTACCGGAGAGGTGCAGAGGGAGGACGGGCTGTTAGAGGGGTTCCCAAACAGCGGCCCAGGGACCTCTGAGCGTCCGATAGGGGTTCCCTACACGCAGGGGCGGGTACAGGAAGGGGGCCCGGGTCGGAGATAAGCACCAATATTATTGTTTAGCTGACATTCATAAACCAATTAATAATGAATTTGAAGCTAAAAGCCAGCTGCCAATAGGTCTACAGGCTAAATACTCTGATTGGCAATACTCTATTTAAAATAAAATAAAATACATTGAGAGACTTAAATCACCCCCCTCCTTTACTGAGCCTAAACACTTGTTTTTTTATATATATAGTTTTTTCTCTTTAATCAAGTCGAAATGGGGAACCAAAAGGGCCATGTGATGGCTATCTCATAGGCCAACTGTGTAACAGAAAGTAATTTACTGCCTGTAGTGGAAATTATGTATCTACTACTTATTTTGTACCCCTTATTGTATTATTTAATGTATGTTTATGAGGTAGGATCTGTATCTTAACTCCTTTAAATGTGTTTGACTTCAGCAGCTCACATGGCAGAGAGTACGTCTACCTTGTCCTAAGGGTTTGATACCAATCCTGGCCGAATTTAACACATTCTCTTTTCCCCACATTTCCTATCTGTTCAGCTTTCCTATCAAGTAAAGATAAAATGGCTAAAAAAAAAATAATCTAAAAAGGCTAAAAAAGAAGTATGCTCATTTGGACTTTGGTGTATAAACTTAAAATATGATGTTCTTGTGAGGAGCTGATACACTTTCCCTCCAGACAGGAAAGTCTCTGAAAGAGGGAAAGATAATTGACCATTTCATGCTCCTTTAATGTCCTCTTCTCAAATGTAGAAAAAAATCAGTAATGTTCTCTGCACTACAGGCTCAACTGAATGTATAATTACTGCATGAATCAACAGGAAACAGGAAGGTGATGCTATAAATCATTCAACAAATGGGGGCATTATTCTCCATATTAACCTTATTTCTACTGAACAGACGTAGCATGCCCATCTCTCACTAATACCAATAAAAAAGTTCTGTTATGATGCAATTTCCTGTTCAGCCTGCACAAGTAGATGATTTCATCATCGGCCTACAGTTCCTTTGTCATCTGTCCTCCTCTTAACACCTACACGCACACAGCCTAGGCACTGACATGCACACACACACATAGTTTGCACCCATATGCACACACACACACCCTCATCTTAGCTCTGAAGTCTCCCGAGCAGTTTGGCTCATTCACTCCCACAGTCGTGCAATTATCCACTTGCTCTGAAAAGAAGTCTGGCTGCATTTCATGAAACGTGAGAGGGCTTAATTGTTCTGAATCAAACTTCATGCAGAGAGGGGAACATTTATCTTCACTTCACTTTTATGCTTTGCCAATGCATTTGTTATATATGAAAGTCTACATTTGAATATGAAGCTAACTTAACTGAATGGAAATGAAAACATCAACTCTAGCTCACACATACTACATCACATCATAGGAAGAGCGGCTGAAGCCAAAGCATTTCAAAGAAAGTGGTCATGCAGAGGACTTTGACTTTGCCCCGTTACAGCATCTACAAACATTGTGAGAGCATGATTGGCCAGGATGTGAAGCTATCGAGGGACATGTTTCACTAAATCTGTTGGGAAGCTGTGGATATTTTCATGGTTGCTAATGAACTGCAAACCTGCCAGTTAAATTCCTTGAGTGTTGGAGCAATGTAAGCAATGTGATGACATACAGCTAAGGCAGTGTTTGCATTGGGAAATGGGCAGACATGATAGAGCCTTTGTGTCTGAGTCCAACAACAACACTGAGCATGACTCACAGCATTCATTCAGGAAATATTGTTTCATTTAGAAAAGCTGCACAGGATGGAACAACACAGCCATATCAAGTGTCTAATGCAGCCTGTATTGGTTTAATTGATGCTTATTTAGTTACACATCGCAGCTACCTCACACACATTTTAACACATCCTCGGGAAAAGGTCACAGCACTCATTTTTGTTTTCACCTACAACCATTCATTTACCTACGTTAACAGTGAGAGGCAGCAGGAAGGCGTACCTGGGCTACAGAGAGCCAATGATGGGCCTGGCTTCCACTCAGCCACCACATCCATCCTGTCAGAGCTCGATGACTCAGCTTCTCAGAGGCACAGGAGTGTGGGAGGTTTTTCTCTTACGGTTGGCTGCCTACGTGAAACGCATCCTTCATAACCCAAAAAGTACAGCAACCCACTTTTCGTCTGAACTTAACTGTCTGAAAGGGAAAACACTCAGGTATGTAGGCTCTGGTGTTCTGCGCAGGTGCATTTAACAACAATACTGCAACATAGAAACAGAAACTAATCAGGGTGCTACCCAGACTCTCAAGCCTACTATAAATTGTTCTAAGGTGTCAGATATGGCAAAGAAAAGGAGTGACTGTACCTTTCTGCAGCCAATCATTCTTTCAAACTCAATCTTTATGTTGCCTTTATTGTCATCTGTTATTAAAGGCAGCCTTAAATAGGATTAGACATTATGTTCACACTTCCCCTGGCAGAGAAAAGGAGACAGAGAAAGACGTCAAATTCCGGCAAAAGAGGAATTAACAATTCTTGAAAAAAATAATAATTGAGGATTGTATTTAAAAAAAGATGAAATAAAGAACAGAAAGTAAATGAACAGTAATAGATGCTCTCAGTATGTGGCCTCCGGTGTGTTATGACAACAGTTGTGTCTTTATTCAAAATGTCTTCCTTAGAAACAGATGCTATCAAACATTAAAGTAAGTAGACTACAGTCTGCATCTTCTTTTAGATATATGTTTACTTTTGTATGTTTCCATAAAGAGACAGACCCATGTGCCTTTCAAACATTCATCTGTAATTAAAATAAGAGAAATAATGATGACCATCTCAAGAACAAAATGTGAAATGCGTATGACGCCTTGGTATCTCATTATATTATTATCATGATGACAGGATCCGTAAAGTTACCTAGTGTCATGTTTTGTTTTTTACTCATTTATTTAGTATTATTGTCCGTTCCTGTTTTATTTTGTACTTATCCTTGTCTCTGTCTTTCAGATCCTGCTCCTCATGTTTTCCTGCCCTGATTGTGCTCACCTGTGTCTCGTTATCCCCTGATTGTCTGTGTGTATATATCCCTGTGTTTCCTCCATCATGTTGCCAGTTCATAGTGTGTTCCTGTGTGTCATCTTGTTCCAGCATTTTTCCTAGTAGCCTTATAGTGATTTTGACCGTGCCTGCCTTGCCGTTTTTCCTTTTGCCTGCTCCCTTTCGATTTGTTTGCCTTGAAGATTTACCTTCCTGTATACCGACCTGGACTGTAATTAAACTCTGCCTTTTTCTGAACTCAGCCACGTTTGAGTCTGCTTTTGAGTCCCTGTCTCTATCTTGTTCTGATGCATGATTGATATTTGGGACAGTTAAAGGATTAGTAACATGGAAATGTGTTTAACAAAAAAGATATGACCGACACAGACCTTGTAAAAAGTTTCAATGGGGCCAAACAAAAATCTAACACACTTAGTAGACTATTGATGCATAACTGAAAATAATATGCAGAGGGAAGGTATGTTTTAATTTACTGTTATGTACTTTAAAGTTCCAGAATATCATCTTTTAATTTAAATTCAGGTTTATATTATACGGTTTGACCATTGCATGTCACAAATAATATTTAATTGACATTTTCTATCTGAATTTGCAGAGTAAATATAAAATTTTTTTGATTTAGTCCTTAGCACAGATGTAACCATAGGTGTCATTAATATTCATGTGGACATTGATAGCCTTAGCATAGCTTTCATGTCTTTATTTGACTCCAATGGCTCCAATGTAAACAAACCTACTCATCGTTTTAACCACACCCTGGACCTTGTTCTAGCATATGGCCTTAAGACTAAAAACTTAACAGTCTTTTTGAAAAAATCCTCTTTCTTATCAGATCATTTCTTAGTAATATTTGACCTTCTCCTATCAGACTTAACTCTGCTTAACAGCAACGTGCTGCCTGAAGGGTCGTCTGATAGTGCTGTAGCTAAATTTAAGGAAGCAATTCCAGCTACTTTTCTTTCAGCATCATCATCTCTTATATGAACATTTGTCCCTCTCAGCTGGACAAGTCTGTTGATAGTGCTGTAGATTCACTGAGAGTAACTCTTGATTCAACTGCCCCTCTAAAACGTCCCTGAAGAATGTGGCGCTCCATCAGAATGGAAGAATGTCGTTTACTTTGGCAAGATAGTCATAATAAATATAAGAAGGCCCTACAACACGTTCACGCTCCCTACTTCTGTTTGCTAAGCAAAGAAAATAAAAACAATCCTAGATACCTTTTAAAAATTACTTGGCCGCTTTAAATTGGTTGGAATCTTTATTCATTAAACCTGTCTCAGTTTGTACCATAGACTGTGATGTTAATGATAAGTCCTCTATGCACACCAAGGTTAACCATGGAGTTCCACAAGGTTCTGTGCTTGGACCAATTCTTTTCATCTATGACCTATGCTTCTTCTAATATCATGAGGATGCACTCCATACATTTCATTGTTATGCAGATGATACACAATTATACCAACGAAGCCAGATGACACTAATCAGTTGGCATAATAGTTGCTAATGTTAATATTAGACTGATCAGTTTATCATACTTTGTTGTTACTGCTAATACTACAAATACTAATACTGGCCCAGTATCTATACATCTGTTTGATTCATTGTTGTATTATATTTGCTTTGTTTGTCTTAATCCATCTCTTTCTTTCTTAATTTCCCTCCATCCCACTTTCCAAGCCCAACACAGTTTTGGCAGATGGCTGTGAAACATGAGTCTGGTTCTGCTTGAGGTTTCTGCCTGTTAGCAGGACGATTTTCCTCAACAGTTTTGTTAAATATTGCTAAGTATGGTGCTCATGATTGATTAATGTTGGGTCTTTGTAACTAATATAATAGTAAGGTCTACACCTGCTCTTTTTGTAAAGTGTCTTGAGATATAATTTCTTATGAATTGATAAAATGGTACTTATTTTGGTGTATACACTTTATGTGCACGAATGACAAACCAAGACTGGTTTAATAAGTTTATGATGGTTTAATTGTTTTTTGTTTCTTTTTTGTTTATCTATTTTTTTTCCCTCAAAAGATGTTATGGCCAAAAACAGCCCATGGCATATTGTTTTTATCACAGAGTTTTCAATACCTGTTGTTCCAATACAATGCTTGACCAGAAGTGTGTAAAGGGATTTTAGAGTTAAAAAGGAGGACATTTTCTCAAGCTTTATGAATCATTACATTTGTTAACTCATATAGCCTACTCTGTTTTCCAAGGTATTAACTAAGAATTAGGCCTATAATTAAATAAAACTGGCATACAGTTTCAATCTGCCTTTTTCATTCTATTTTTAACAGCTCTAAGGGTCATTTGAGTATATATGATACTGTAGGCTTAAGAAGACAAAAGAGGGTGGTTCTTTTTAGAAAAGTGGGTGGAGGCTCTACCAAACAGGAGAAGTTCACTGAGAAAATAAGATGTAAAGAGGCTATAAATCAGTTTGGTTCCTCAAATGATTGTTGTGACAGAGTTTTTTTTTATATCAACAGATACTTTGAACTGAATATTCAGTGACTAAGATATACATTAACAAACTGAGTGGCCTATCTATGATTGTAAACAATTCAGTATTTTCTCTGCAAAGCATCAAACTGTTGCTTTCTGCTCAGGCTCACAGAGGGGTAAGATTGCTTACTACTAAGGTTTGATTATGTAGCCGACATTATCAGAGCATTTTTGTGATAACCCTTTATAATCCTAAAAGCAAACAACTCAGCCTTTGTCAGCACCTCAATGATAACACAAACTCATCACATGAAGCTCAAAAAAGAGCAAGACTCAGATGGACTGTCTATCCTAAATGACCCCATACAAAGGTCATGAGCTTCAGGAGCTTTTAGTTGTAACTCATAGTCAACCCTCTTACAGGTCCAAATAATTCTGACAAAAGTATAACTTATGGAATATATATTTTTTTACAATACTATAAAATTATCGAACATTTTCAAAGGTTCCAATTTCAAAATGTTTCATCCATACCTAACAATTAAAATGATGTACATGGTTTAAAGTACTTCTGTGCTACCTGCTGATTTTCTGCACTGGTAAATAGAAATCAGCTTTATAGTTGGGGAACATTTTATATGTACATCAGAGACCTTTGAAGTAATAATATTATTGTAAATGACGAGTACTTGGTTAGCTTTACCTTCATGCCTCAACACTTGAAGCAAAGCAAACACTTTCACCAGGTCTCCTCTATGTGTTCTCTGGCGACTGGAGGAGTCACTTATGGCTGTGATTCAATTATTTTGGATGAAATCAATAAAGGGCAGTCCGTGTCAGCAGTTGATGTTTGTTTTATTGGCCTAAGATTGTCTGGACATAATGCAACGTCGCCGATGCTTAACAATGTTGATCATACATTTATTTGTGACATGTGCAGCACAGAGTATAAATGTGTTTACTGAATAAAAGAGAGACATGGAGTCATACGAAAAAAAGGCAAATTTTACAATGAGCTTTCAGGACATTTTGAAAGTTCTTTTCACACGTTTCTTTTAGAGCATTATCTAGATTCAAAAATATGCCCTTTGACATGAATGGAGGACAGTAACAAACAGAAATGTGTTCAGTTTTTTCTTAAGTAACCTCACCTACGTATCCTCTCACCCTGGCACTTCCACATTTGATTACCAAAGCGATTGTTTTCTCAGCTATAATACAATGCATACAGGAATTTATACATTGAAACATCAGGTACATCTGCAATGTTCAAATATTTGACCCCATTAACAAAATATGTATAATAACAATAACAAATTTTACCAACAATAAAAGCATTTGTTATAGTCACAAAGTCCCATCTCTTGTTATGCTTGATTGAGACTGAAAGCATCATATGCGTCCATTGTACCATTTATATACAGAGTGATGAAAAAATACAGACATAACACAAGTGTTTAGCAAACACAAAGTCCATCTGTGAACGTTGTTGAGGCTATGACTGATAAATTAGGTACTTTTTTTAGACAGACCCGCTCCTCTCATGTTGATTGGCTGGTGCAATGCTGCCTCCTCATGGCCCTAAGCACACACTGCAGGTGTCCTTAAACATTTACATCTCCTTGTTGTTATCGGAAAGGGACAACTTGCTCTAGTCCTATTGCACAAATTATCTTCCAGCAATGGAAACATATACATTACAATTTTAAAAAGTCAGTGTTTTTTCCCCCATGAGTGTTGGCAAAAAGTTCAAACTACTGTACAGTGTCACATTTTAAATAAATACTCTCCGTTAACAAAATGTTGATGAGTATATTAGCATTTATAAAACTGAAAAACATCTCAATGACTCGTCGACTCAAAAAGAACCACGTAATTCAGCACCAAAATCTGGTGGCAGCTTTGGCTGAAAAAGTAACCGAACGAAAACAAACGCTAAACGAAATATCAAACATAGCAATCCAACACCAGCAGGTATTAAATATTTGTATTAAAATGAGCTTTCAAATCCCAAAGCCACTTATTTTTTTAACAGGGCCCCGAAGCTATACATATATAGAGATATTTTGTTTATGTGGATATTTCTTTAAAAAACAAACATTTTCTGTCGTTTTGATAAATAAAAATAGAAAACAAAATTATTTTGTCCAACTTAGGGTCCGTCATGCGAGTCCTGCCTCTCCTTTTGTCATGATTTCCCTAAGTGAAAGAGAACTTGGCAAATTATAGACCCCACTCCTGTGTTGAGCACCGAGGAGATGGAGATGTCTAATAATCTGCTTTCATACAGCACAAACTCTGTCTTGTTCTCCTCCACCGTAGCCATGGCTAACAGGCCTTTAGCTGCTCTGCACATCATGTTTATGCTAGGTGGGTCCATAGGCGGGTGCCCCATGTGCAGCAGGCTGTGAGTGTTCTGTTGGTACTGCGCCATGCTAACGCCATCCTCCAAGAAGCCTACCAAATTACCAACACTGCCTTTCTGCATGGCTATGGCACGTGCAGCTGTGGGTTCTCCTTGAGCCAGGTGGGCGAGGACGGCCACGGCCATCTCCCTGTACACCTGCGCCTTCCTCTGACCAACGTAGCGGATCAAGACGGTGAAGAGTTTCTCTTGCCGGCTGAAAGGCGGGGTGGCCAGCAGGAGGTCGACATTGCCGCCCTGAATGCTCAGCTTGCAGAGGCACTCGAGCACTAACCTCTGGGGCGTGAGCTGAGAGTGGGGAGCTGCTGAGGGGAAGGGGTCCTGGGCTTCTGCTGAAGGGCACACCATCCAGTGGAGGAGGCCGTCCAAGATTGGAAGGCAGATAGTGTCGGGGTAGGAGGAGAGATCCAGCTGGCCGGAGATGTTGGCCAGAGTGACCATGGCGTTCTCCCTGAGCAGACTCAGACACTCCCACCACCACTCCTCTTTGCTGCTGGACAGACCCTGCTCCTGATGCTCATCTCTCTGGTAGGTTGGAGGCAACCTGTTCCTCTCTGGATGCTGGTGGTGCAGCAGGAGCAGCCTGCCAAGAAGGAGAACCATAGCCGGGTGGCCCGACATTTGAGAGTCATTCCCCGGGATAAAGGAGAGGCTCCGGACTATGTTGGAGACGCAGAGGCAACGCTTGGCCAGAGACTCCTGCCAGGCTGAGGTCGTGGAGAGCGGAGCCTCGTCTAGGCAGCGAGGCTCATCCTCCAGCAGGGTGATGTGGTCTTTCTCTCCGTCTGAATGCACCCTAAAGGGGTAAGATGGCAAGGAGCGCGCAGGGTGGGAGTAAGAAAGAGCGTCCACCCGTGCACAGAGAACATCATCGATGGTAGCTGTGATATGTTTCAAAGGTTGTTTATTTCCATCGTCCCCCATGTTTTCCTCGTTCTTGTCTTTGCTCGTCTTGTTCTCCGCTGTAGCAGGGGGATCACTCCGGGGCTCAAACAGTGTCTGAATGTGTGCGGTGGAATCGCCTCCACCTGCCTGCCAGTGAAGCAACCCACTGGTGAACTCAGTGACGTAGCCTAAGTGCTCTGTCCTGTCCTGAAGAAGGTCCTCTTTGTGGACAATCTTGATTGGTAGCTTATCGTATTTACTGGCTTGTTTAGGTTTGGGTTCTAGCTCTGAAACAGGCTGGTCTACACACTCCTTTTTGCTCTCGGATGCTTTTTCAGTCTCTTCTTCTTTTCCCTCTTTCTCTCTGTCCTCTTCATGGGTGTCCTTCTTTACACTCACCTCAGACTCCTCCTTCTCAGCTTTCACCTCAGCCGACTCTGGCTCTGCAGTGACCTGTAACGCTTCCTCCATGACGCCTCCTGCTTGCTCCACTTGCGTCTCTGGTGCATGTGGAGATTTAGGTTCAGGATGGACAGTAGAGTCTGTGTCCAGGACAGGGATGGCTTCTTCTTTCTGGTCACCAGCAGGCTCCAATATAGGCTTCTGAGCCACGGCCCCTACCTCGAACTCTTCTAGGATGCCGAAGATCTCGATCAGGCAACGACGGAAATACTCGACAATCAGCTCAAGGAATCCAGGCAACTGTTCAGACAAGACAAAACCATGATAATCTAATCAAAAGAAATTCAAACTTGTTCCCAACAGTCTGAGATGTTGATTTCAAGCCAATAATTACTTTCAATAACTTTTTAAGTTGTTATGATATCTGGAATCCATTTAACCACTTTAAAGCGACAGGCTGGCATAATGGCTCTCTGAATATGTCCTCCTCTATGGATCCTTACAACAGGAGAAAATCTACAAAATCAGGTTTAAAGAGACATATTGTATGTCACCCTGTCAGCATGTGTTAGCAGGCTACATGAAGCCTTTTGTTTCTTAGCAGTGGTGATTCTGGTTTTACCTGGGAGAGGTTAAAAGAGGCCACCGTGTTGTCGTCGTACAGCAGGATGTTGATGGTGTCTAGAGCCCATGTGCTCTCTGCCAGCAGGCCTGACTTCAGAGACATCATTACGCGCCAGGCCTCAGGCGTTCCTGGGATTAAAACAGCGGGATTTTTGGAGCCAGGAAGAAAAAAAAATGGTGATCAGACATTGTTTAAATGATGAAAGGGTTGCTACACAGAGTAGATCAGTGTCAGGTCATTTGGAGAAAAAAAATGAACCACATGGTTTTGCTAGCTCTTCCATAAATTCTTGTTTAGCTTTGAAATGTTTTTTTTTTAATGAATGAAGATACTAAAATTGTTACATTTTTCAGGCTTATTGTGGAGACTTGTCAAAAATTAAACATTATAAACTCTATCCAAAGAGATTCAGAGACTCAACCAACACACGATCCAATCAAAACATGAATAGAAGACAACATGGGACTCTATCTCACCAGTGTCCTTGGAGCTGATCTTGCGTTTGGGCTTCAGGGTCAGCATGGTGGACTCCACAGATCCTGGTGGGTAGTTGAGGTCCCGCCTCAGATTTGGAGGAAACTGACCGAGGGGCCCACCAACCTGAGGGCCCATCATGCTCATCCCTGGCTTGTGCATCTTCATGGGCGACATAAACGCTGCTTTGCTGGGCGACATTCGAGAGTCCATGGAGCGCTGGAAGGCCCCTGGGCTGGGGGCTCTGGGCAGGTGGTTGGCCATGGCTGAAGAGTTGGAATAAGGAGATGGTTGGCGTGAAGACAGGGGTGGCATCCCACCTGATGATGAAATGTAGGGAGACTGACGGTGCCACGGCTCCTGCCCGGGCCGTCCGTCAATTTCATCTCTGCTGATTGAGCCATATGGTGGCATTTGTGAGGGGGGGCCCTGTCTGTTGGGGTAGGGATAGCCAAGGTCTGTCCTGGAGGGCCACATGTTGGGGCCATCTGAAGCATGGTTTGGAGTGGGCCCCCCGCCCATCATACTGTGCTGGCTCTGACCAGAGGGGGCCATGCGGTCACGGGTATAAGGGAAGGGGAACTGTCCCTGGAGGGGTCTGTGTTCAGAGTACCCCCCGCCGTAGTGGTTATACATGTCCGGCTGCTGGTTGGCATACTGCATGGCGTACATGTCGCTCTCATGCCTCTTGGGTGGGGGGCCGTACATGCCGTCCATGGGTCTCTTGTAGCCCTGAAGAAGCAAAGGTGTCAAAATTTAGTCTAGATTTTCCATTAGGAAACACACTTTGCACATCCCTTCTCCTCATTCCACTACTTCTGACATTTTACAGAAGTTAAAAATATTATTAACAATAGCCATAACCAATTTGTGTAGCCCAAAGTACTAAAGTGTTAGTGTTAGGAATTTTTAAAAAAATGGGTTAATGCATGTATGTATGTACAGATAACAAAAACCCAAAACACAGCTAATCTGCTAAAATGAAGAAGATTCATGGTGTGCTTATAGGCTAGCAGTAATGTGCGCCCCATGTGTTCAACTGTTCAGTTCATGTGGACACCAGGAAGAATAGCTGAGCTCTCGGGTACAGCTAATGGAGATCCAAACAAATAAACAACTCTGACTCTTGGCACTTTGTGGCATGTCATCCCCCACTCTCTCATTCCAGTTTCCTACTCTACAAACGTTCCTTCCCTCTGAATAAAGGCATCAAACCCCCAAATAATCTGAAAAAAATGGTGCCAAAAAGTCAAACATTTCTATCTGAAAGGCAAACAGGGAGTAAGAAGGTGGCTAAACAAAAACACAGCATCCTCCTTTGGACTTAAATGGACTTAAATGTATTATATGAGGAAATAGATGTATTCATATAGTAGATTAACTATACATTAAACCGAGGCAACTCATTGGACATTTCCCGATCAAAATGAATCCAACCTCTTGTCTTGCTTGGCTGTTTATAAAGATTTTCATTTAAAACACAAAGTCCCAGTGTACACTGTAAAACTCTGCTCAATATAAAGGAACAAGCTCTCTCTCACCTGTTGCTGTGGGTACATCCCTGTTGGGTGCATCCCGTATGGCATGGCAGGAAACTGCTGACCGTAGCCATCATGTCTGAAACACGACAGAGGGAAGAGGATTGTATCACTCACTTGTTTAAAAATTATCAGCAAAGTCACACAAATACATCTGCTAATATTTAAAATATGTTTTTCTTTAAGCAGTAGTGTGATATACCACAAACACACAAACACACACACAACAAGGATGCTGACCTTTGCTGGGAAGGGTATCTGCTGGGAGAGTACATACTGCCCTCACTGTTAGATGGTCCCATGTTGTTCTGACTGCCAGGGGGACCCATACTCCCCTCCATGCCCATCACATGGTCCGGCCTAAGAATCAAACAAAGGGAAAATACTTCTATTGTACACATTTGTAGTATTTATCTCAAACACGACTGGTAAATATTCTCTCTGTGATACAAAACTACATTATGATATTAAATGAAATCACAAAGACAACATATGGGTTTAGCACCCTCTTCCGTTTAGTTGTTCGCCTACCTCCGGTCATAGCCTGGCCCGTAGGGGTACTGAGAGCGTTGGCTCATGCTCAAGGCTGGTGGAGGTCGACCATACATTTCCTGCATACCACTGCCGGGCATCTGACCGGGTATGTAGGGATCAGCTCCTGCCACTGTGAGGTAGAGAATAAGATTGAAAAATCTCTGGTGATTTTTTTTAAGTAAGAGAATCTACACAACCTAGACAAAATGGAAACAAACCCCATGTTTAAATTAAAAAATGGAAGACTAACTCAAATAAACAGCAGAGGCTGAAGTTGCCACCAGGTGGCAGCCTTCCTCTAAGAATATTCACCACGCTCAGTGTTTAAACCTATTGTTCTGAGGCTGCAACTGTTGTTATGCAGCCAACATCGAGCAGATTATTCATTCAGACTCCATTCTCCTCAGTCTTCAGAGGAGCCGCTATCCTTTCTAAAACTCCTGTTTGTTCTGAAAACTAAACCACATGAGTTGGTCAAAACAGGTGCTTCTCAGCGGGATGGAAAGGATGAAAGGTTGGAAACGAGGAGGATGAAAAGGCTGAACAAAGTTAGGATGAGACGAAGGCTAAGCTAGAAAAAGATCAGACGAGCTGCTGTGTTTTCCATAAAGGGACGTGTGGTGTAACAATCAGTTCTCATCTCTTTCATAGCTCTGATATTAAAACACACATCTGTCCTGATCTGAGACAACATGGTGACTAGACAATGAATTAGGCCAACGAGACAGATGAAAGACAAATGACTTTGGGGAAACATGAGTCATTTTGACAAAGAGCAATGCATTATTATTATACAGCATTACATATGATTATCTTAGTGTAGAGGATCTGTGTAAGTTTAAATGAAAATACAAGTAATTGATACATTTGGTTCTTAGAATTTACTGCAAACAGTCTCGATATGTTCTGTGAAAATGTGGAGACAAGTGGAAGGGCTCAGTGTTGGGTAAAAGGTTGTCACAGCTTGTGCTTCACTCACTCTTCCTCATCCCAGCGAAGGGATCCTTGCTATCGTACTGCATTCTCATCATCATGTCAGGCATGCTGAGGCCCTGCTGGTAGGGAGCTGAGGGGGGCAGAGAGGTAGCACGCTTCTGGAAGGCAGGGTCGCTCACCTCTGAGAAGGGGTCCTGAACACTCACACTGCTCCTGGACAAGGTGAGGAAGAAAGAAGGAAGGAGAGAGAGTGAGGAGAGAGAGAGAGAGAGAGAGAGAGGGGAGACAGTGGAAGCTGTGTGAGAAAAGGACTGAACACACTGAGAAAATGCTGGGAAAATGTATTTAATTTATTCTCTTCATAATAATCTGGAAATGTATTTGAATTGTTTTAATGAGACAAGTTTTACTCTAAAATGAAATACCTGTGTTTTTAAAATTTCATTTCAAAAAAGGTAATAAGACATTTTGCATAAAAAAGTACTTAACAGTACTTCTTTTGCAGAAAGAGGCCGGACAGTGTGATTAATATGATTTTATTATTACAGATTAATTTCTATATGCAGCAAACTAAGATGTAGCTTAAAAATGTTAAGAAGCGGGGGCGCCGGTTGCCTAGTGGTTAGTAACTGCGCCCCATGTACAGAGGCCCAGCCCTCGAGAGCGGGGAGCCCGGGTTCAAAATCCAACCTGTGGCTCCCTCCCAGCATGTCATCCCCCACTCTCTCTCACCCGAGTCTCTGACTCGATCCACTGTCTTATCTGTAGAATAAAGGCGTAAATAGCCCAAAAATAAATCTTAAAAAAATAATAATTAAGAAGCGTAATAGAATATGTTATGTCATAAAGTCCCATAATGTATAAACAGATAATATACAGTTGTTCATATGTAAACCTTGAACCAAAATAACAAAGTATGTATAGGGGAGTACAATGTAATAAGCTGCATTAAATAGACATCTTACTTTAGTATAACATTAAAAAAGGAAAGTAGCAACACCTAGTCCAGGGTGGGGTAACTGTGTTTAGTTTCTTTCTTGTTCACATGACACAGAATAAAACCTGTTAGTGGAGAAACAACACTTGCTAGAGCACATTAAACTGCTCCCTCATATTATCACAAGCAAAGCAAACAGAGAATTGTGTGCACTATCCCTCGCTGCACAAACAAAGATGCTCAAACCTTTTTATAAAACAACAACAAATCAGTAGGGATAAAAGGCATGAAAAAAATAACGGCTTTAAAACATCATGCATAGAGCAACACACAATTAACAGCTTTTTTTTTGTAATCTCAGCTAAATCACTTGAAAACAGTTTTATGTATAATGCTATAATAACTATATCATCTTTGCCTTTAGGTATATCCCTCCTAAACAATACTTTTTTTTTAAATTGAGGCAATGTTCACAATTTAGATCTGTACAAACAACAACACATAATCCTTGTTTATACAAAAGGAGCATGTTTTGCTGAATGATGGGGATATCACAGTGTAATGTAATAGAAGCAGTAAGAGTTTTAAAGCAAGTCTCGGTTACAGTATTAAGAGCAGCTTTGTGGATTAGATCGTACCATAACTGTAGTAGTGTTAGTATTGTATTCTGTCGGTGTTTTACCTGTTGGGGGGCAGGGCTGTAACCTGTCCCAGAGGGGTGGTGGCAGGTGTGGGGGGTTTCAGATCCCCTGCTGCCTCTGCTGTAGAGCTGCTGCCAGAGGACTGAGGTGTCTGAGGGCCTTGGAGGGAGCCGCCTGAATTAGCTGAAAAACAAAAGCATCCTCATGGTTATTTCTTTAGCTAGATGTTTTAGAAAATTCAGTCAAAACTGCAGCCACCCCCCCCCCCCCCCAAGAAGCTTCAAAGACGTTCTTGATGCTGGATTGAGCTTGACTGGCCATAGCAGGCTTTCTGCTGCAGCAAGGTGCTGTGTTAGAGAGATAACTTTGGACTTAAGGCCAAAGCACTGACTGTGATGCCCTACATGAGAACTGAGCTTCAGCAAACAGCCAACATGAGGGCGGAGAAGATGATAGCCGAGGTGGCTGCTTTACGAGGAAAAGGAAAAAGGGAAGGAGGCAGGAGGAAAGGACACGGCAAAGAGTAGGTAAGGATTTCCCAAAGGGGATTGCCCATATAGGCGGTCACAGCAGATCTGTATTTAGCAACTGTTTGAAGGTGGCTGGCTTTCATCTGTTTTCCAATGACGTGGTGAGGGGTTATTTGGAAGGCTGAGCTGGGTGCATAGATGTCAGAATTTTTGACAGGTTTTTTTTTAATAAGAAGAAAATATCTACAGCAAGTGAACAGGAAGAAAATCAAATTAATTAAATGAATATTAAGCTAATACTTCTGCAAACATCATTTTAATACGAGTGAGCCCGAGAAAGCGTGTTCTTGTGACCTTCTCCTCACACAGAGACAAAATCTGGGGTTGAAATTGGGCCAGTGTGCTCTCTAGTTATGACTACACAATTCTGTATATTTCTTACTTCAGATGAAAATATAAGACATCCGAGCTACAACAGCCACACACATGAAGAACCCCCAACCAGATAAAACCAAGGGATAGAAATTCCCAGAAGCAGGTTTAAAGAAAACAAGACTGGGAGAAAGAGAATATGACAGTATCTTAATAATAAGCGTTTAGCGTAAGAAGACTTTCTTTTTGGCCTTCGCCTGCACTGCACGTTTCCACTGGGGAGAAAAAAACGAAGCTTTAAAAATGAATGTTAAATCTGAATTATTCAATGATAGCCTCTACATCATAGGAGATGGGGAGAGAGAGCGAGAGAGAGAGAGAGAGAGAGAGAGAGAAGGAGAGGTGATCATCCCATGAAACAGAGCAGAGGTAGAAGAGAGGGCAAAGAAGGAGCAGCGAGCATTAGGGATCCTCTGTCACATTCTGGGATATCCTGCTTCAGATAAACATGAACGTGCACACACACACACATACACTCACATGCACACGTACATGGAAAAGTGCAAACAATGGTCGGTGTAGACAAGGTTAAGAGGTTCGCCATTCCTCAAGAGCTGGCAGACAGAAATAATACTGAGGGGTGGGGGGGGGACGAAGATGGAGGGGAGGTGAAGGAAAGCTTGAACTCAAGTGGCCTCTGCTCCACATTTAGAGGGAGAAAAGAATGACAGAGCAGGCGATGAGGGGGAAAAAGTGTGAGTGTGTGTATGACGTTTAATGTGTGTGTGTGTGTGTGTGTGTGTGTGTGTGTGGAAAGTCTATGTGTGTCAGTGGGTGACATAATACAGAGGGGTTGGTGGTGAGTGGTTAAGGGGGGTTGAAAAAAAAGTCAGTCAGCTGAGCCGGTTTTGTGAATGAAAGGTGACGACGAGGTCGCGTTTGTTTACGTTCTACATTCCAGTCCTCATTAATCACTCCACACATCCCCACCACCACTCCACCTCCACATCCACACAAACACTGCACCCCACCACCCCCAGCAGCCCGCTGGACAAGCTCTCGCAGTGACATCATTGGACTGTCAGTCTATATATAGGCTGGCTGGGAGTCAGTGGGGCACTCTGGATCAGGGAAGCGTTGATACTAGACCAAGACAGACGTATAAAGAGTAAACACATTGGACCTTTTGAACTACAAGTTTTCAGATATTTTACATCAGAAATTACCATAAATGTGTTTGACTCGAATATATCCATACTTAACAACAAGAAATTGTCATTTCCTGTTGTTAAGTTATGGATACATTTGAGTGATTTTTTTATATGTAGTGTCCGTATCCTCTTTTTATCCTGCAATCGTTTTCTTCTTTGGTCTTATTTTTTGTAACTTCCCATATTAAATATATTGCTTATGATTACATTCAGAGTAATTGCTGATGTCTGGGAACAAGCCAAGTTTCATTTGGAGCAAGAAAAGAGCTCTCAGACAATTATACACACTCTAAACAAAGTGTATAATTATCAGGCAAATTATCTTTACCACTTGATTTGAAGGTAAAACTGAGAGCGACAGCAGCTGAAATGTTCGACATAAAAAGGTTTGAATGTTTTTTTCTTATGATTTAAATGTTACAACTTCTCACCAGTAATTCACTCTTTCCTCTGATTTCCTTTGATTCCTCATCATTAATGACATTTGATATTAAAACATTCAAGCAGAAGATTAATTCGAAAAATGAAGTTTCCCAAAAGTGATGATGTGTTTTTATGTTTTGTTCTTCAATAATGTTTATTAAATTATCTTATATAGAAGTACTCAAATCTTCACTATATTTGTGGTGGAGAAATTAAAATGTTAGCACTAAGGTATTCTTGACATGTTAAGAATCAAATCCTGTAATAATATTTTGTTTTCTCTCCTGCTAAACTTGTTAAAGCATGTTGCCTGTATTAAACCGGAAAACGTAAAACATGTCGGTTTTAAATACATGACCTCATTTGTTGAATATTTAATAGAAGAAGCTTTCTTTTGGTCTTGTCCAACATGGAATCTGTTTAATAGCACGAGCTGTAGATGCTCAACTGGAAATAGAACCACATTTTCTTTTATATGCAAGTCATATAAAAAATATGCAGTAGATATTACTTTGGTTAAGTGTTGCGGTTATGAGCACTTAATAGTTAAAAGCTGCATATCTAAAAGGTGGTCCAAACCCCGGGAGAACTGACCTTTACATATTTCATAATGTGGAAATCTCAGACTGTGTGTGCAACCATCTCATCAGCTGATGTGAACAAAAATGATAACATGGTAAGATCCCCTCGAGGAGAGGAGTGCGGGCTGAATTATAAAGTGTTATGAGCAACAGGAAACACGTACACTTTAATGATGATGTGTGTGTGTATAGGGATCATATATACTCCATGTATGTGCATATGTGTGTGTGTATGCAAATGACGGCAGATGATCTTTCCCACCCAGTGGGAAAAGCAATCTGCAGCGTCTCAGGCAGGTGAAGTGCTCTGATGTTCTATTTAAAAGCCAGGGTCACTTTTCTCATCTCAGCTGCAAATTAGAGACGGGACCTTACTGCTCTATATCGCTCTGACTCTTTCTCTCTACTCCTCTGATCCTTAACGTCATAATTGTGAGCAGACACACAGTGTGAACAGGTAACGTACACAAACAGAAGCACCAACCGTGTCATTGTTCTGCCCTTTAACTTGCTAGATTTGTGCTATGTTGTTAATTTTACACTGTCTGATCTTAAACTAAGTGCAATGTTTAAATTATCTTCGAAATAAGCAAATGAGGCATAGAGAGGAAGGAATTGTTTTTCTCCCATCACTTATAAAATCACAAGTTCACTGTTGGTGCTTTAATGTATTATCTGGTGGCCATATTGGAGGCCGACTTCTCGGGGAAGTGTCTTTGCAATGTTACACAAGAATGTTTTTTCTGCCATTGAATCACTATAATACTGTGTTTTCACTGTGATTCCCCTGATGTGCACATCAGCTATCATAACATAGCTCTGACTTCTTACATCACCTTTTTACTCCTTTGTTCAACTAAACCCATAGCTTATATGCTGCAACCTCATCCACTAATAAAAACCTACACAGGGAAAACATACACAACCAGCTAATGGATCTTTCTGTGACACTACACATGCTGCTAATAATTCTGCAGGTTTTTGGCCGTCTATTATCCTAGCATGGCCGCTACCTTCACTTGGTTTCTTACTCAGCTCTCTATAGTGTGGTGACATTGTACAGTACAACGTCTAGGATACAGATCAGTGTTTCTCTGATGATCCCTCACACCTGCAGTTGGATCTGCACCACCTGTTGTTTGGCTGCAGACAGATGTGAGGGTGTCGTGGTTAAAAAAAAAAAAAAGCAAGGTAGGGATGTTTTATCAAGACTTACCGGGTGAGGGTGGCTGGATCTTGACCTGCTTCCTGCTGTCCCCTCCAGCCATGCTGCTGCTGCTGCTGCTGCTGTCTGCAGGCGGCTCCTCTCCTCTCTCCATCTTACACTCGTAGGCAAACAGATACTGGATGTACTGCTTCTTGAGTGCGCTGGCCGAGCTGCTGGATGTTCCCACATTCAGGGTGCCGGACAGCTCGCGCCACTTTTTGTTCTTGTTTACCTGAGAGGTTGAGGGTCCAGGGAATGACAAGATATTTATAAGTCAAATGAGGACCACTGACCACAATACAATTCTGAACAATTCTCTGTAGTAGGACGTAACACTCCCTAACTTTTTTTTCGGTTAAGCTTTGCAGTTTTCCTCATCAACTTCTGTAAGTTTGACTGGCATGTTACACATCATACAAATGTGGAAAATTGCTGATTTACTCTATCAGTCTGTCCCCAACACCTTCTGCCATTGGTGTACCTGCTGCCCTGTCACATCCCCTCCACTCACACACTGCTCCTACTGTTCATGTACCGTAAATACTGCCAATTGCATCCGTGGTGCGTTAATTTGGGAGGAGGTGCACAACTGACTGACACAGTGACGCAGCCATCGTGCACACTCACAAGCGTAGATAAAATCTATTTTAGCCAAGATTGATTTCATGCATCTCTTTCTCTTGAGTCAGAATGTTTCAATGCACATTGCTGGAGAACATTAAAAGCTCATGCACATGGATGCATTAAGCCTCTGAGTTAAAGCGTGTGACTGTAACTGTGGTTTTTATACATTACCATGGCGAGGCCTCCTATCTCCCGAACTGTGATGTAGAGCTTCCAGAGGTCCAGTGGCTTCTTGCCCACAATAGGGAGCTGGGCGACAGGTGTGCCCCTCTCCTCCATAAAGGTGAGGTATCGCTCCACCCAGACCCGCCTCTCTGGTTCCACACCAAACTCATACAGCCGTGTGATTCGCTCCCCACTGATGGAGGAGGAGTTAGGGTTGGCTTTCTGGTGAATGAAGAGCGGAAAAAAAGAGGATAAAATGTGTCTTATTAAAACTATTTATAATCTTTTTTTGTGTATTAATAAATGTTATGCTTTGAACTATATGAATGTAAGCACAATGATTGAACTGTCTATGTCAACCCTTGATATGACATCACCCGGTACTTGTCATGTGTGGAAATGACAAACGCTAACTGGGGAATTTATTCACATTATAAACCAAAATTTCATGTACAATGTACAATCTATTCTATATTTCTTTTTCTCGCTGTTTTTTCTTAGAACGATCCAGTCATCCCACAGGGATCGTTGAAGTTTTATCCATTATTTTTGATTTCTGAAGTATGTCCTTGGCTGAATGACCAAACAAAGGTAGACATTTTTATGGTGCTTTTTGTTCATTCTGCAGTCTGTGTCTAATCCAAGTTTATTTACAGAACCATAATCTCCTTCAAGTTCAAACAGGTGGACAAAGTTTATTCCTATGTCTGGCTGCTTTCCAGGTTTAGAGAGACTTCTTTGGTCTAAGAACCAGCTTTTTAATAAATAACAAGATAATTCTGAAGTGGTAAATTAACAAATCAACCCAAGAGCTCTATTACAACAACAGAAAAGTTACTTGATTTGTTCTAGTCTATGATTTGCTGTTCTTCATGTTCTAATTCAGTAAATGCACACATCCATAAGGAACCACAGTGTTTCGAGTTCTCTTACAGGACTGGAGGGGGTCTTGAGGGGCCAGGGGGGACTGCTGATGCTGTCACTGTCGTCTCCGTGGTAGGAGGACAGGCTGGCAGGGCTGGGTGAGAGGGGGGAGGGCACGGGCAGGGCACCTCCTGGCGTGGCCGGCTGGGACACGCACTGCTGGGAGCCACTGCTGTTATTGTTGCTGTAGCTGTCCTGTAGCTGCTGACGAGAGAGAGAGAGACAGAGGGAAGAGGGCACTTTAACTTCTCTAGAAACATGCAACCCCACTGCAAATATATAGATACAGAGGTATATAAAATTAATGGTAAATGGACTTGAGCTTGTATATCACTGTTCTAGTCTTCTAACTACTCAAAGTGCTTTTACACGGCATGTCACACCTACCCATTCACACACTGATGGCAAGTAGCCATCATTAACCCCATTCTTACACATTCATGCACATTCATGCACAGCTGACAGGTGTCTTGGGGTAAAGTGTCTTGGACTTGACACATCGGACTTGAGGCTGCAGAAGCTGGGGATTGAACCCCCGCCCTTTGGGTTGAGAGAGGACCGACTCTACCAGCTGAGCCACAGCCGCCCCCACACCATACATACACAAATACATCATGGACTGTGTTTAATACATTAGGAGGTACAGCTACTCCACTTGAGTATTTCAATACAAAATTGCACTTTATTGGGGCATTTACTACAAAACTCTAATTTAAGGTTAAGGTTTAATTTAAGTTCTTTTTCTTCTGCTTAGTGCAAAGTAAGGCATCATGAATTATTTGTTGATCATACTATGTAACTGTTACTAAAACCTGTACAACAATGACTAACTGAAGCTGCCAAATAAATGTAGAGGAAAAAAAGGACACTTTTTCTGTTTGTAGTGTTGTAGAGTTATAGCCACAGTAGATACAAGTTCATAGAAAATGTACTTAAGAGTAGGAATTAAGTGAGTGAGTGTGTGTGTGTGTGTGTGTGATACTTTGTATATTTTATTGCTATTGTGTTCTTACATGCAAATGTAGTTGCATGCTGATTACTATACAATATATAATTTTATTCTATGTACTTGTGTGTGTGCAAATCTTCCTACAATCTCCACTTTGTGAAAATAATGTCACGTAGCTGACATTAGTGTGTGTGTGTCTCTGTGTCTACTGCATGTGTGTATGTGTGAGACGAGGAAAGAGGGAACAACAGCTTGACAAGTGCTTCTGGTCTGTGTGCAAAATGCTCATGTCAGCAAAACCTTATCTTTCTCCCTCTCTCTCTTTTCCCGTCTCTCTCTCTCTCCTTCGGCAGACAGATCATCTCTTTTGGGAGCAATGGGGGTCTTTCTGGCTGCTCTGACTGCCTTAAATAATTCAAAACGCCCTACCACTGTAATCAGCAAAAGAAAAGACAGGGATTTGGAGGGAAAAGATGTGTAGTGGATGTGAAGAAGGCATGTGTGCATGTTTGTGCACTTTTGTGTTTAGTGTGTGTCTGTGCGTGTGTGTGTTTCGAAGCGAGGTTGTTAAGCAAAACAAGGAACAAGGGGAGGGGGTAGAAAAGAGCAAAGAGCAGACTTCTGTTATTGCTGAGCTGAGCCAAGCCGAGCTGCAATTGTAGGGCAAAATGAGAAGTCAGCATTGTGTATTGGGATGTTTGTGTGTGTGTGTGTGTGTGTGTGTGTGTGTGTGTGTGTGTGTGTGTGTGTGTGTGTGTGTGTGTGCGCCATGGGTGTGGGTGTTTTGGTGTGTGTTTGTGTGGAGGCACTAAGGACGCAGTGTTTGAGGGAAGGATGGTGTATATGTATGTGTGTCTGGGAAGGCCACTGTGAGGTTTCTTGTCTGTATGTTTAATATAATAAATATGATTGTGTATGCAGTGTGTATGTGTGTTTGTGTGTGTGAATGCATTATATTTCTGTGTTGTAACAGAATGTGTGTACATTTATGTGTGCCGCAGATGCCGAGCCCTCCCTTTAACCATGAGTCTCTCTTTTGTTGCAGCTTGGGCTGCCAAAACATCAGCAAGAAGAGAGTGCTGGGGGCGAAAAACAATGCGAGGAAAACATTAGGAATGGTAAATGTTAAACAAATCATTAAATACGGCGAGAAAACAACCGAGAAGCGGCCCACTGTGCTGAGGCAGCATATGCTGATCAGATTTGGTTTGCTTCATTAGGGGCAAGCAAGATCAAAAAACAAAACAAAAACACACAAATGCAAGAAAAAGAAGGAGAAAGGAAATTGAAGCGGGAGATGTGAAAAAGGAAAAAGGTCAGGGAGGTACCTTTGGTTTGTGAGGCTCGTTGATGTTGGCAGAGCCGCTGTCATCTTTTAGGTCTGTTTTTGGTTTTCCATCTGGGCTCATCATCATGTCTCCTGACACGCCCATGGCTCCTTCACCAATAATAAAAACACATTTACTAAAACATATTCGTACTGAACTTCTCACAGATGAAAATGACTGTGATAAATTATTTTCTGAGAGATAAATCTGTACTTTGGGCATAAAGATAAGAAAAGTGTCAGTTGAACCTCATGTCGACCTCAACATTTTATATAAAAAGCGTCATCTTAACAGGTGTCCTTTCAATGCAGTGCAATGAAGAGGTATACTTGGAATCTTTTTGTATTAGGTTCCATTCAACATATTTTAACTCCATCAAATGAACGGTCCCTTCTTTATGTGTGCTGAAAGCTGCTGCATAATGGTTTTAAACATTTCCTTCTCTCTTTCTGTTTTCTCAAGGCCCCTCTTAAGCCTGTCCAGCCGTTCAACTCAAAGGGAAGATTGTGAAAGAATCATATAAAAAGACTTCTGCTTAAGAAAGACATCGCAAAGAGAATGAGATAAGACTCCACTAAAAGCGAGGCAGCGTGCTCTTTCAACCTTGACGACTGCACGTCGTCAGTGTAGGAGAAATCATCCATGTTCTCACACATTCAAAGAGAAGACAGAAGGGAAGGTTAGCATTCAAGAGATGCTGGCTGACAAGACGACTCGTTTCAGTTTTCAAAGTTGTTGTGTACCTTCATGAGGTTTCGGAGTGAAGAAGAGTTAAGATCCTTAAAGACTACTTTTTTTATCGCGCCAGCTGCATATTTCTTATTAACAGAGAGCAGGGGTCCTTGGATGCAAGGCTCTCCTCTTTATTTTTCCTGTATGCTGCAGCACGGTGAGAAAACTAATGGCTTTTTACCGTTCCCAGGGGCAAACCAGATGAGTTTTCAGGAACCTTGGCACTCTAATTCTTTGAAGTTTTTCCAAATGTCACGCATTCTGATATTTGGTTTTTGAATAAAAAGTGTCTTTCATTTTTTTGGAGCCACAGTACCCTCTGAGATGCGTTTAGTAACAATGCAGCAGGGTGAAGGGCTGAAAGAAAAAAGGATGCACCGCATTAATCTTTGCTCACTGGAGGGCCAGCTCTACAGGAAGAAAGTGAAGCACAGAGAAAGTAGCACATGTTCAGAGAACTCGCTTGATTTCTCTGCCTTTTATCTTCTGCCCCTTCTGGTGCTCTCACGCTCTCTCTGCCTCTGAATGAGAACAATCCGGAGTCCGTTCTGCTATACATTCAACGTAAACACATAGGTTAATGTGTTTCACATTTACAGCAAGGGCTGCGATTTCTTATTCAACAGGTTCTGTATTATCAACAGGTTTTCTGTACATTGCACTTGATAAGTCAGTGAAGGTGGGGTCATGACTTCATTTGAAACCTTGTGTTTGGAAGTGAACGGCTGAAGGAGGCTGACAGATTGTGTGAATGGGTTCAGTTATGAAGGGAAATTGAGACCCTTTACAAAATATTTCCCTTTCCAGTTTTGCACATTTTAAAGTTCTGATGGTTTGGCTGAAGACCCCTGTATTGCTTATGTCTGCTCTGCCCTGTATGACTCTTTAAAAGTTTATCATGCCCTAAGAGAACTACGACCAGAAGAAGACCTTCTGTTAATTAGCATTTAGCTAGTTTACCTGAAGGTGGCATATTGTAGGCTGGACCTTGTGTGTTTCCCATTGCTGAACTGTTGTTTCCTGTTGGCTGGCTGTAGGGGACAGTGGCGGTCATGGTGCTCGGTGGGCTGATGCCAGGACCTTGATAGCTGCCCTGCCTGCCAAAGAAAAAGCAGAAAGACATGAGTGGAATTTGTGGAGTGGAAACCAGTTGAGATTTGTGATGTAATGGCAGGCTGTGGAGGGATAAGTGGGTCACAGTGAAAGCTGCATGGGAACACACGCTACAAAATGGTACAAAGATGCTATTTGGCAGTATGTCTCTGTCAAAGTCCTTTATTATTATTGTAAAAATCAACAGCATGTATATCTGAGTAAGTGGCAATAAAAAGCACAGTAGACATGTCCCTGATCAAACAAACAGCTCTTCCAAAAGGCTGAAGATGAGCACACAGCATCAGAAAAGAAAGAATCTTCCAACCCCATTTTCTGCTATTCTCTGCTACAAATCCCCATCTCCCCTCCCTTTCCTTCCTCTTTTCCTCCATCTCTCTCTCCCATAAGTCAAAATTTAACTAATTAAGGTGTGCTTTTGGAGAGGATCATGTTATTTGTTGCCATGGTGACAGCAGAAATCAATCCCGCTCAATCCCTCTGCCTCTCTCTCTCTCAGCTGTAGCAGCTCATCACATGGCGTTGCAAGTGACATCAGAGAGGCTTATCTGCAACCTGCTGAATGCTACCCATCCATGAGTGTGTGTTCATTTGTTTGTGTGTGTGTGTGTGTGTGTGTGTGTGTGTGTGTGTGTGTGTGTGTGTGTGTGTGTGTGTGTGTGTGTGTGTGTGTGTGTGTGATTGAAGGCAACGTCTATCATTGCATGCCAGGCGGGCAGGCCAAAGCCAGTGACACGGGGGCTGAAAGGGAACACCATGTTTGGAACAATTTGCTCTGTCTCCTGCTGACTCAAGATTATCTCCTGGACAACCATATAAAGAAAATTGAGAGAAAAAGAGGAGACAGATGGAGAGAAGAAAAAAACGTGGACTAAAGAGAGAGAGAGAGAGATAGGGAGAGAGGCCTTAACGATTGAAAGAAAAGGGGAAAAGGTGGAAGACTGAGAATACTGACTAAAACAAAATTAGACGTGAAGACGGGCTGAATAGGTGGAAAGGGGAAGAAAACTGAGGTAAAAATAAAACATTTGAAGAACGAAGGGCGGAAAGAGAGCAGGAGGGAGAGAAATGTCAGCAAAGGAAAACATCAATACACCACAAGGAGGAGCATTTGATCCAAAATGCAACACAGTTCTATGTGGACGAAAAGAAAAATGCTAACAGGATTTATGTCAGTCAATTCCTTCTAACTGGCATCTCTCTCTGTCAAACACACACAGAGACACATAGTGTAATACCTCATGTTGGAACCGATACACATAGCCTAAGAGGAGGGATTGGCTTGGTAAACCTCCCCGTAATCTCATCTCACAGATGTAATTAGTCATAGAGCATGGCTGATGATACATATGTAATCCCTCTATGGGGGCCGAGGTGCACTGGGGAGATCCATGGCAAAGAAACAAGCTCACACCAAATCCACACTTGTCTGGCCCCATTTTCCTATAATGGGGGGGAAATATAGACTCCTTCTTTGCTGCCTACGAGCTCCCTAAAAAGCCTTGTGTGAGTCAAGACACAGAAATAAATGTTGCTTTTGATCATGGCACCTTCTCGCTCAAGTTAAAATTTAGTCTGCATGCAAAAACTCTCGCACTTCAGCAAGAAATGATAGAGGTGCCAAATGTCTACGAACCTAGTTTATCTATACTGCACGGACGCCCCTCACCCACCTTAAGCAATATAAGCAGAAGCTCTCGTGTATACTGAAGTATCCAAATCAACAACAACAACAACAGCGGTTGGAGGTTTTCGGCTGTGGCGCTCTCCCATTATGACTAATTCATGTCATAAAAAAGCCCATTAGAAAGCACTTGATGGAGGCATTGCACAGCGTTTAATCACACTTAATATATGCATGTGCTGCTATCAGGGAAAAAAAAAAAAAAAAGGCACAGCGCATTCATCTTGCTCTCGGGCACCTTTATGCAGGGTAAAAGAACATCCTGTTGCGGCAGAGAGAGAGAGAGGGAGCGAGAGAGAATGAGTGAAGTAAGATAGAAAGCAGGGGAGAGAGAGAGATGGAGAGATGGGAATAAAGGGAGAGGAAGAAAAGTAGAAAGGAGGTGGGGAGGAGGGGGAGGGGGGGGATGTTAAGGCAAGAAGAAGCCTGAGTAGTGTGTGTATGGGTCCCTGGTGGACCGGTGGGGGGCGTATTCTCAGCTCAGGGCCCCAGAGCTGGAGGTAAGCGCTGTTCCATGAGACTGAGCCGAGGGAACACACACACGCATGCACACACACACACGCGCACACACACACACACACACACACACACACACACACACACACACACACACACACACACACACACACACACACACACACACACACACACACACACAGTAAGAAACAGAGAAACATCTATCTGAACACCATCAGGCCAGAGCGCTCTCAGTTTGTTGTCTAGGATCGGCCTGAGGAGAAAAGGAGAGAAACAGTGCAGACAAACTCTACCTTTTTCTGATTAAAAAAAGAAGAAGAAAATGTAGTTTTAGTTTTTTACATTGGTTGGTTACAGCTGTCGTGTTTACATCTTCAGATCAGCCTGTCCAGACACCATTAAGGTGGGTAAACTCATCATTATACATGATTTAAATAAAGATCTTTGAGTTATTTTTTTTACCTGAGTCACTTCAAAATAAAAAATTATATATATATATATATATATATATATATTTTATTCATTATAAAACTGCTGTCCTTTACACACACAGCACTCACAGTCCCCTCTCTCTTTTTTTATATTCAGTCCACATGTGTGAAGGGCATCAGAGAAGGCCACATTCACACCATGGGCGGTGTGTGTGTGTGTGTGTGTGTGTGTGTGTGTGTGTATGTCACAGTGTGTTTGAGCGTGTCCTTGTGTTGATGCACGGGGTGGGCGCTGTTGCCAAGGGGATGCCATGGTTACGAGGTGCCAGCCAACCAGCTGACGGTGTCTCTCTAGAAGTGGCAGCGCCTTTGTCCTTCATCCATGGTGACAGGCGGAGCTGATGCCTCCCAGCGCCGCTAACTGGACGAGACAGCAGAAGCGCTGGGACTGCAGGAGTGTGTGACGGCTGAGCGTGGCTCCCTATCGATCCTTCTGCTCGACGTGTGTGTGTGTGTGTGAGTAAAAGAGTGTCTAGGAGAAAGTGAGAGAAAAAGCGCCAGAGAGAGGCTACTGGATGGAAGGATGGAGTGGATCGGCTGGAGGCCATGAATTATATATGGACCCAATCTGTTCTCAGGGCAGCTCGGGCTCATAGCTCCTCCAAACTCCTGACTCCAGTCACCACATGCACACACACACACACACACAAACACACACCGACAAACACACACCGACAAACACATACAGAGGAGAGGCCGGAATAAACCACTCACAAAAAATAAAAGGACAGCTTTTAACATATTAAATCCAGAGAAAAGCTTCTCTTCTCTTCTCCTCTCCCTCCCCTCCTTCTTCCCAAACATCAAACAGTTTAGGATGGATGGAGGAGAAGCCATTTATTTTGCCCATCTAATGAAAGCAGAGCGCTCTGCAGCACTGCCAAGTCTGCAAGCGACAAAGCGCCACAGGCAGCATCCCCCGTTCTTGACATTCAAGCACTGCTCTTATTTATTTAGCAAATTTACTTACTAAGGAGGTCAGAAATGAATTATTTGGCGAGGATTTGCCTGGGAGCACTCTCCTCTCTTCTTCCCTCTTCCAACATTTTCCCCCTTCAATTTCCCTTTGATTTACTGCTCTTTTTTTTTTCCTGAGCTTTGCTCTTCTCCCGCTAAATGCTTATTTTTTCGACAGAGCCCGTTCCTATAGCTCCAGGAACTTTTAGTAGAGTGTCGCCGGCAGCGCTGGAAAGTCATTTGAAAAGCCAATTCTGTCCTCAGAAGCTGCTGCCAAGAAAAGCTTATACCTTTTAATACTTTCTGTTCTTTTCTCCCCCCCCCCCGAAAAAAACAAAAACAACATAAATTTACAGACCCTAAAAAATTTGTTTCAGACAGAATGGTACCTCCTCTGTGCTGACAGGCTTGACACAGTCCGTGTTTTCTGAACACAACATGTCAACATTTTTACACTGTAATTCATCATACTGACAACTGCCAGCACAGTACGCACAAAAAGTTAACTTTCAGGAAACTGATGCTTTTTTTTTTTCTTTTCCAAATATAATACCATATCACGAATGACAACCAGCTATTTCTCAAATCAGGTAGCAGTGCAAGAGCAAGTGACATTTCCTTTTTTACCAAAATGGTATGATTTATCAAGATTATTACTTGCAAAACCTGTGTGATTTTGTCATTAAAATAAAAGCAATTTTTAATTGAGCCTTGACATATTGGACAACAAGTAGAGCAACAAGTTTCATTTTTTGTTCACACTCTTTTTCCTTAACTAACAATCCAACAAAACAGTCATTGGAGGCCGCCCTTTTCTAATTCCAATAGGCCAGTGGAGAAAAAACAAAGAGGAAGCAAAATCACTCAGGCCACACTTTACAAAGATTTAATCACGACCCTCGCCTGCAGCCAGGGGACACCAGAAGAGAACCTCCTCTGTTCTTTTGGCATTGGTGTCAATCGGTATAATGAAGCTGGAGTGTGTGAGGATGTGTGTGAGTTGGGGGTTGATTCGGGGATTGGAGGTGGAAATGTAGAGGTATTATTAGTGAGGATGTAGTAAAGGGATGTGTAAAAAATGAGGAAAAGAAGAAGAGACCAGACATTGACATCACTGCTAACTAGCCCCTGATTCGGAAGGTCGTGCGCGGGAGGCTGTGACAGTTCGCTCTGGGCTCGGAGAATCAAAGAGTGAAACAAGACATGTTCTACCACTAACAACTTGTTTCTCAGACAGAAGGGAACTAGCTCTGAATGTTTCACGATATTGCACTGAGATCTGGAGTGCAAACAGGGTACTGGAGCCTTTAACTGCAGGTTTTCGGAGGCCAATTTTCTCCTGATCTCCTTCAGATGTTCTAAAGTGGGATCTGAGAAAGAAAAACATAACAAGGCTGTGCTGGAGACAGCGGAGAACAAAAAGCAAATTGGGAGGAAGAAAGTCAGAGGGAGATGAAACAGTCTGGGTAGGATAACAGAGCTGCACAGAGACGGAGAGGGCGATACAGTTGGGAGAGTTGGTGAAAAGAGTGGAACAGGTGGGAGGAGAGAGAACAGACGCAGACGGGGATGAAAGAGGTGGAATGAGTGATAGCAGACGAGACCAACTCTGAGGTTGAGACGAGCAGCGCAGAGACTGGAGTATTCTGCAAAAATGTCCATCATAACAAATAAGACTTCTTTTATTAGTCAACAGCAATTTCTGCCAGAAGACATATTCACATCTGAGCTATGAGCATGTTTGTAAAATGAAAAAAAGAAAAAAAAAAACATTTGAGAAAAGAGAAGCAGAAATGTGACAAATGATTCAGTTTTAAGTAAACTGATCTGTTTCATAAAACAAATAGTCACCTAGTCGAGCTAGTTTTAAAAGTTATTTTTTTGTTCTTAACATTCAGCATCTATTTGTTTTTTTCCTCCAGTGCGGAGGAATAGATGCTTTGTTTTGAATAAACACAGCAGCAAGTTCCAAATAGGCTTGCCCAGTAACTGCCACTGTAGCTGTAAAGAGAAAGATAAATCAGATTTCCAGCAGAATATCAAAAGAAAAGCCTTCGTGTACTGTCCTTTTTGCTTCAGATGTGCTCTACAATGCAGTAATAAACAACAACTAACGCCAAAGATGGAGATAAAACACCAGGAAAAGACAAGAAACCCGGGGATGCTTTCAAAAGAAGACAGTTAATCAAAGTTAAGATAGAAAATAGTTGGAAACCCACACTTTTTAGACGGATATGTAAACAAAAAGAGAAAGAGAGAGACGTCTCCTCCAGCAGCGGCACAGCGAGCGACACCTCCCTGCTGTCTTAGTCAAATGATGAGAATGACAGGCAGTCTGATTGGTTGCAGCAGTGGGGATCATGTCATGCCACTTCTTATTGGCAGCACAGCCATCTCTTAATGGCTCGGCCAGTATTTACAATGCTGTGTGTGTCTGTGTTGTGTTTGTGTGTGTGTACATGTGTGCTTGAACAGTACAGGGCCCCCTGATGCAGGTAATTAATCAGTGGACTGTCAGCCCAACAATTACAAACAATGTGAAAATAAGTGTTTAAATGTGTGTCCATTCATCATACTGTATGTGCTCACTTGTTTTCATTAGGGGGGGGTTCATAATCTTTATTTACACAAGTGTTTGAATTTCTGTTTGAAACACGTTTGTAGTCACAGTGGTATTGTCCAATCACACATCAGCTGCTTCTGAGGTATGGACAGTCTGAATGGAACCAAAGCAGGTGGAATGCATCATAGATGATCTGACAACAATTTATTCATCAATTTATTTATATTCAGATATCTGCATGCAGTGAAGCTAAAAATCTGTTTTAAATCAACAATTTCACTTTAGTGACAAATCTGCCGGCACTGTATGGCTAAAGCCAATCAGCGTTAAGGTGTCCTGACTTCCTGGAATGCGTCCTCAAATGATCGACCAGAACTCCATTCAACAAACACGCTTAATAAACGTTTGTTTCTTCTCCTCCTGGGCATACAGCTGACAAAGTTTTGAGTTTTGTGTTTTGATTTAATATGGTTTATCGTATATATATCTGTGAATTTAAGGACCTCTTATTTAAAGTAAATCAGAAGTAAATCGAGTTACTTTGTTGGATCTTACCAGTGAAGACAGCCAGAATGAAGCCACTGTGTGACTTACTATTTATAGTTTAACTGAGTCTCATCAGGAATAAGATGAACAAGTGCTGCTCCAGGTTTGTAATGAGCCAGTCATATCTGGAGGGAGGGGGGGGAACTTTGCCTCCCTTTTGATCTGGCCACTTTGTGTCTTCTTAAGTCTATCATTGGATATATGTAAACAATGCAGCAAACTGAAAAGGAAGTTGTGGCTGAAAGTTATTTATTGCTAACCGCTGGCGACACCAGAACAGGCACTTGCTTTCCGAGACATAGATCAATTTAATGGGTTTCAAGATTTAGGTTACTAAAAGATGCTGACAATGATAAAATAATATAAAATTCATCCAAAGTGGCAAGTTGCTGATAATGATGACCACACTGATGATGGTTATGAAGGTGATTGTTGGCAATACATCAAATAAATAAAACAAGAATTGACATATGAACAGTTTTATATGCTCTTGTTATGAGGGTGAAGGACCTACCTATAGTGCTGTGAATGGGAGGGTGGCAGAATGAGTGGATGGTGAGGTCTGGGTGGAGGTAAGGATGTGGGACAGGAAGAGGTAGAGTAGGGTGCAGGCCAGTGGGTGGAGTTGGGTTGGATTTGTTGCATCTGGGCCGGAGACCTCGCATATGGAGGCCGCCTGGAGATCGGTGTCAACAGACTCCCGACAAAAAGAGAAACTTCATCTGAAACATCATCACTGGCAGTCTGACTCAGTCATTACAAGAACTGGGAATGAACATTTACAAATATGATTCTGCACTTCATGCTGGCGAGACTGCTCCCATGATGCATTGTTAGGCAAAAAACCCACACCGATTGGATGACGTGCAGAAATCCAGCCTTCCTCTCAGAAGACGGCCATGTTTTCACAAGTTCCCCTAGCAGGGTTCAGTAAAAGTTTACTGCCCACACAATCCCGCAACAGCCCTGGTCTCCAACACTGCAAACACTCCCATATTCAAAGCCCCAACCCTGATGGAAAAATAATTTCCCTTAACTCATGGCGTTATAGCATCAAAGAGTTTTGTATTTGTGTTAAGGTGCTTGGTGTCACCTCTGTCTCTGGTGTTTTCACAGTAAAACCTGTGGTTTGCTTTCTCTTCTTTTATGTTTTGACAGCGCAGTATTCAGCCCATACAGTCTCCTCAAAAGCCAATATCTCTCTTTGTGCAACAAATGGCACTTGGTGTATAGTGCCAGCTATCAAAATGTCAGGCACTTTATGAGATCTGGGAAAATAGGGAGAGTTCGGCAAATGGCTCATGGAAGCGTGGAACCCTTGAGAATGAACTCTTGCCTTCCAATCTGAAAAGACTCCTGCAAAACAGACCGACTCCGACTCACAGAGACTCTGGGGTGCTTTTCAGAAAACCTCCCAATGACGCCCCGCCGAGAGTGTTACAAGATAAGCAGCTTGCTCGCCCCTCATTTTAACGAAGGCCTACCACTATTTCTGGGTGTGGTAAAATAGTCTCTCATCTCCTCACTACACTAAAGTTACCCCACATCTGAGATTTTTTTTATTTATTACACATATTCATTTTTATCCTTATCATTATCATTATTGAAATCATTTTGGGTGAGTTAAGGCTTTTTTTTTTTATATGTTTAGCTGGACTGCTGATAGGCTACTATAACGATGAGCTCAATCTATGAACCTGTCTATGTCTGCTTTAATGTAATTGACTTTTCATTTTCTGTTGCTATCTCGTTGTTTGGCCTTAAATCTTATATTGTGAAACACAGAAAGTTCATTTTAGCCAGCTACTGACATTTAGTCTAATTCCCCTGTGATAGAGGAAACTAAACAACTGTTTTATTTGAACTTAATCAATTCAGATTTATGATGAACTGTTTCCGTGACAGCGGATACAATGATTTGTGAGTTAACAGTCTAAGACCCAGTACCAAGTTGCTTACAAACCAGAGGTTGCTTAACTTACCTCACTGGCTCATCATGGCACTTACTCCCCTAATCTAAAATCCACCTTCTTTCCTGTTTTGTAATTTAGTGTGCACCTCTGCCCTCCTTTATATTCTGCATTTAGCTGCTGATAAGTTGCTAGCTGGTGTTTGCAGACTGACCTGGCGGTGGTTAACTGTATGGATAGAGGTTGGTGTAGTGAGGATGTTTGGGAATCAAGTATTAGACAGTGATGTCACCATCATGCAGAAGTAAATAGTCAACTACAAATAGTCTCAGTAAATTGGCTCATCCTAAACAGTTTAATTTTGAACCGTATAGAAGAGTTCTGCTGGGCTTCAACTCTGTTTTGGGGAAAATGTAGTTTATTTGTAAGCTACTATAAAGCCATATCAGTCAGAAAACAGCTACTAAAAAATGTAGTTACTACTACTAACGGCATTATTTGTAGCGCTGTTATTGACCAACACTGAAAAAACTTTACATTTCTTTTGTCAAGATCACATTTGGCATTGGAGTGCCTAAAACAAATGTATTTACTCATATGAACCAAAGCCAAGTATTAAAACTTTTCCAATAGAAATGACCATTTCTGCTCTTACCTATTGTGATTTGAATTTGTAGATCCTGGCATGGCAGCTGCTGCTGCTGCTGCCTCCTGGGTCTTGCGGTTAGAGCTTCCCATAGAAGGGGGGCCCATCCCAGGCCCTGCAGGTTGGGGCATTCCAGGGGAGCTGGGAGCCATGGGGGGGTACACCCTGTTCTGGCTTCCTGGACCATGACTACGCCCTGCAGGTACGGGTTGGCCAGGCCCCTGGCCGTGCATGGGGCTGCTAGCATTCATCCCTAGACTGTTGTTCATGCCTGGGCCGGGGCCGCTATAGCTGGTACTGGCTGTCCCACCATAGTTAGAGGGCCGAGGGTAGTTTCCTGGAAGAAGACGGAAGAAGCACATGAGAACTACAGCGACAGAAACTGTAAACTATTACACAGACAGTGGTATTTAAAAGATAAGATATTTGTTTTTGTCTTCATTCAAGACATTTGAATTTGATAAAGTGCTTCTGAGAATGACACACAATGGCCCCTTTGAAATACTGTAGTTGCAGATGAGAGCTAAGAATCTCTTCATTTGAGACAAAGAGAGTGTTTATCAGCCCGTATACCTACGATAGAAACACAAACAAATATCATTCATCAAGAAAATAGTCCTTCAACAGATGAGGAATGTGGAGTAAAAAACTGAATTGTCACTCACATAAACCTATATAACTGCCAATGGATGCAGGAATTACTACATGGGGTTTAGGTGCTGGCATTTTTCACAGCTGCAGGTTTTTGGATGGCCCTAGGAACACTTGCCAAGATTAGGTTCAGCTTTGTGAAACACTTAAGAGGAGCTCAAATCTGGAGGAAATGCTTTGTTGCTGCCCTGGAGTGCCACACGTACATAATGCCAGAAGCCTTCTAAAGGCACATTTAAACCCTCCATTTTGGCTCTTCAAGCTCAGCTCGTCTCCAACACCAGCTGCATCAGAAGCTGAAAGACAATCACCATGCTGCCAAAGACAACATGTACATATATCAAGGCGTACTAAATCACAACTACTGTACATGTAAATGCAGTAAACTCCTTTACTAAAGAGTATATAACATTGTATTCACTCTGCAGGGACTGAGCCTTCTCCTCTGTGAAACTCCCTCCCTGGGACAAATCCCCTGCAAAATAGAAATGGAAAATGTGGCATCCTCAATTGTGAAGGGGGCTATTTATTTTGATTTGATTAAGGGTGCTTTAGTTGGGCCTCACTGCTTAATCCTTTGAGAATATGTCTGGAAAAGGGGATCAAGTCCCTCTTAAACCTGAAGGCTTTTCTGCACGCTCAAACGAGGGAAACTTGAATGACAAGATTCAACACGGGGGGAGAAAATGTCTCCGAAAATGGAAATGGCTTCTCAGTGTCCTCGAGCTGCTTCAGTGAAGACACTTTTCACATGACATGAGCCTGGGACTGCAACAGAGGGAGAGAGCAGGAGGAAGCAGCAGAGGGAGGGGGCAGACAGAGAGGAGGACACACAGACAGTAAGTTAGTGGAGACAACAAAATCCTGCCCCCCCCCCCCCAACCCGCGAGATAGGATTTATATTGAATCAAAATAAAAGTGTTTCCCATAAAAGTTAGCAGCTCCGCCTGAATGTGTCCAGAAATTGTGATGAAATCTACTGTGGGAGATGGGAAAAGAAGAAGCAGATTATTTCTTGGGAGGCTTTGGTGAGTCGGTGAGCTGAGTACGGCTGACACCTGTCAAGGGTTTTGGGGCTATAATAGGGAAGCGTTCAGGAAGAAATGATGCCTGCTAACGAACACAGGAGGATACGTATGGTGCCCGGCACCTGTGTGTGTATGTCCATCTGCTTCTCTGTGTGAATGCATATATAATACTTTTGAGACCTTGCAGCCAGTGAAAGACACATTTCCATGTTTCTTCCACTCATAAGTGACTGCCTACAACGCTGTGGAAAAACCCTGGGAACAGTTCCCCGCAGCTTCCCCTCCTTTCGGGCGGATGGCTTTGCTGCAGATGAACAAGGCCGCAGTAAGCGACCTCTCTCAGCCCTCAGTGAGCAGCTGTGGAGCCCCATGTCATGGCCGCCTGCCATACATTCTGAAATGCCTGGGCGGACACTTTGTGGTTTTTGGCCCCTGTGACAGACTGAGGCTCCAGCACACCTCCAGGGAGCCTGTGTTTTTATATCACACAGTCCCTTTTAGACAATCTGCTTCTTTTTTTTTTTTTCAGTTTGTGGGATCGGCCAAAAAGTTCCAAAAGTGGGGGAGAGTTTCTGGAAGTTTCCACGAGACTACATTCAACTTCATGAGCTTAATCTAACTCAAGAGGTTGGTTTAAAAAAAAAAAAAGTGTCATTAAGTGGACACCCTGCATGGAGAAAACTTATTAGTGTTGATGTACTACCATTCACAGTGTTCTGGTTGTGGGCTATGTTTGACTCGGCTGACAAAGGAAAGACAGAGTAGCTGAGGGACTGGGTTAATGCTAAGCTTTCCTATGAGAGTCTTGCTCCATTCTGACAAGAATGATTCACTTCCTGAAGGACTGGTGCTGCGCCAGAGTGCTTCTTCAAGGACAGATAGCGTACTAACCCACTTTTTTAAATGACTGAGAGCTCTACCCTGAAACTCTAGGTGTTTTCATAAGAGTCATTCACTCTTTCTAAAGCTCTGGAAGTGCCACTTAGATTAAATTAGACGCGGAAGATGGATTGTGATGGGGCAAAAGACATTAATTAGAATATCTGTTACTAACTTGGCATTACAACCACTCAAAGACATATTGATGGCGTTTATCATATAATTGCTTGCAAAAGTTGTATTATCTGGTGAGAGTAAAACCGTCCATGATGTCTTGTATCTATGTAACATAGTTTAAATTGTATTAGTGAATGTGAATTTGCATTGAGTTCGTTCAGACCTCGGAGAAAAATAGACCTTGACCCAATCAGGAGGGGGCACTTCTTTATGCAACAAGACTGCAATATATCATAAGAAAATAAAGAAGTCTCTCATTACTATCATTTTACTGGAAACCTTTGCTACAAAAGTTACAAGCTTCAGAGGCTTCTATATGAGATAATGTAAGTTGTGAGCAGCTGTGGGCGGCTCTGGCTTTAACAAAATGGCCCTTCTCATTGCACAAAGGGGCCTGGACTGCAAGGTTAGCTTCTGGTATGCACATCAGCAGTGTTTCATCTACCGCACCTACTCTGCATGCTGCTCATACTGCTCTGGAAAGCAATCAAGGGAGGGACAAGAGGAAAAGAGACAAGGAGGATGTCATTTCTTATTTGTCCCTCCTCACGTCCTTGTGGCTGAGCCTTGGTTTCCTGCCTGCTTCTTGGGCACTTTGGGCCTTTGGGGAGTCGTGGTTGTATTTATAGCGCAATGGAGGGGAGGAGAAGGAGAGCTCATGGTGCTTCGTTCACAATTTCATGGAAATTCCCGGCACAGTCATGCATTCAGCGGACGCTATATCCTGCGCCTGAGTTTAATCCCTGCATTCCCGCGGGGAGAGCTGGAGTGTGACCGAGCAGATTAACGTCTACTGCTTCCTCAGCAGACTGGACAGTCCAATGCTAACATCCGAGGCAGTCATACTCCTGGCTACGGTGGAGTTTGGTATGATGGTGCACCAATGCGGTTCTGTAAACTCAATCAATAAGGAGTGGAACACAGATTACATGGCTGTATGCTTGAGCTGCCAAGGGCAGGAGCATGGCAGGCTGCTCATGTCCACGTGTGACTGAACACAAATAAAAGAAATGAACGCGTATTCTTGTCGTGTCGTATACAGTCTAAAACATCTGCAACAATTGTCCTTCTAGTTCAACTATATGTATCATGCAGTAGAATAAACTATTAGAGCTTTACTCAAAACTTACTTTTCTATTCCAGGTTTGTCATTGACAGTTAAGAAGTCTTAAAAAGTTTGAAGTTGTCAATATTTTCAACACAGCTTATTCCCTTGCTTTCTACTGGTTAAGGCTACAGTAGGCAACATTTTGTCATTAAAATGTTAGTTAAAACAACAATATTGATCCTTAAGTGTCACTTATAATATTAAATAAAAAATGTCCCTTTTAATAAATATGTGTCTGATTTGTGTCTGTGACTCCCGACCTCTTGGGTTTATATTTTAAACCAAAGAGACTTCCTCAGTTTTCATTCACCCAATCAGAGAGCCATTGAGATTGACGATCAACTGAAGCTGATTCATCCATCATCTGAATATTTTCTTGCTGCCATTACGTCTTATTAAGGTCAGTTAGACCAAAACGTTGTATGATCAAATAAACGTGTCAGACAGCGTGCGGGGAGCCTTTGTCATTGTCTTTCAGTTTTAACCTCCTCCGACGCACCTTTCACACATTCAACTGTGCAGAGTTTTTTTTCCAACCTTTATATATTGTTAACTAAATGATCTGGTCTGGATCAAAAATCCTATCAGGGTTAGCTTGCGCTTAACTAGCCAATCACAGAAAGCCTGTACAAACTTGCATAATCGGGATTCTGCATGACTTCGCTCTCTTCACCTCAGTGGTGCTGAAAGCAAAACAGCTGGGCAGCACACACCTGTTGCTATCAAAACATTTTTTTTTCCGTATGTAAATTGATCAGCTGTTATTGTTGCTGTCCTCCGAATCCAACCTAGCTTACTGGAACTGGCAGTTTGCAGTGACAACGGTTAGCGTGCATGTTTGGTAAGTCAATTGGTGGGAGGGTTTTTTTAACCAGTGGAATGTTTATGTTGCTCACTGCTACTTTAAGACTGAGCTTTAAACTGCAGTATAAATGTATGACTTGTTGGGTTGGATAGCTTTTTTTTGCAGCGTCCTCTTTTGCCAGGGGCTCCCACATCCTCTCCCAGCCACCTCAGCACCTTCAACAGCAGGGAGTCTGAGCCAGGGCCTAGGTTTGCCTTGGGGCTTCAGAGCTCCACACACTGTCAATTTCCTTCGAAAAAGTCCACTCCCTCCCCCAGGCGCTGGCTTTTTTGGCTGAATTACACCGTGGCTCCAGTAAGGCACCAAGGCCTAAAAGTGCTGTCTGAAGCATAGTCATTACTAGTGGAGTGCTTAACCCCTCGAGGGGGGCAGTAGGGGTTAGGGGGTGGAGGGAGGGTGGGCAGAGCTGAGGCGGACTGCAAATCTCTATCCTGTAATGGTCTGATATCCTCCTCCCGGTCTGTCTGTGTGTCCACTTTTCTCAACATTCTGGCTCTGTACCACGTCCTCATGCATGTCTTGAAAACAGATGCTGGAGTCATTTGAGTCCTGGAGAGCCTCATATCAACACAGTTTGAGATCAGTTTAACTTGAGTAAAAAGGGCTTTAAAAGGACAGCCATAAACATTTAGCAGCTTGAATATGTTTCTGAAATACTCAGCAGTCCACTCACTGTAAGAGCTCTCGTTTTGACAAAGGGAAAAGGAGGGATAGCTTTGGCAGAGATTTCATTGTACATCAATCTGGAATAAAAGCCTTGGCTACAGTCTAGGAAGCAGACTTTTCTAATCAGAGATCTCTGGAAATAACTGCTAAATATTTTAGTATTGTTTGTGGAATGGACCACATCCTCTTGCAGTCATGTATCACCATGACTGTATGTTGGAAGGAGTTTTTGCAGCCCATTACACAAGCTGTGTGCAGTTTTTTCCCCCCTGATTAAAGAGCAGTGCAGCAGCCTTTTAAGGTACACAACCCCAGACAGTTTTTCTTTTCTTTGTAGAGATACAAACTATTAGTGATACTGTGTCTGGACAGCATGATCACTGGAAACTTTGTACAACGCAACCAGAACAAAATCGCAAATACAACTTTAAGGTCCAAGTACTTGGTTCTCCCAGCAGTGGCAGACAGGCCAAGAAAAACAGCAACGTAGAGCTCAGAAACTTGGAAGTGTGTCTCGGTGTTAGCTAAGGGCTGGCTCATTTTTAATTGTGCAAGGGAGAAGGATGGGAAGCAGCTGGAGCTGTCTTTTTGAACAATGACCTGCAGCTGGCTTCTCCGTCCAACCAACAGTGGCCCCTCATGGCCCCTTGAGAACAGGGGCCGAGGCTTTATCCTGGAGTCTACATAAGTGGAATCCAGTTCTGAGGGTTTTATGACTGATAATTGTATTTCTATGTTTTAAACATTTCTGCATTAAGACAACGTGTCTTTGCAGGTTGTAAATATTAGAAAAAATCTCCCAGTCGCCAGTAATTTTTTTATTTTTTCTATTTGGTTAAGGTTCAGAGAAAACCCCTTCATCAAATAACTAAGTCTTGTCATTCACTTCAGTGAGATCTTTGCTTTAACAGTGCAAAACAATCTGCAGAAAACCAGCCCCAGGCTGACTTTACAATGAAACCCCATACACAGAAACACTGACCTGGCTTAACAAAGACTTAAATAACCTGAATGGAGTTCACTCATATTTTAAAACATAAATAAATAATAATAAAAATAATAAAAATGGCTTTTTATGCATCTATTATAGAGATAGGACAGTGGATAGTGTTGGAAATCAGGGAGAGAGGTAGTAGGGGATGAAATGCAGGAAAGGAGCCACAGGTCGGTACAGACTTGAGGCATGCTAACCACTACACTACCAGCACCCCTAAAAACTTATTTTTTAAGCAAATAAATAAAACAACAGCACAAAATAGCCTCCCATTTTTTCATGTTATTAATATTTTTAAGCATCTCTTAAAAGCTCAAGGGCCATTGAGTGGGTACAGCTTGTCCACTGTACAGAGTCTGTGTCATTGTCACATTAGACCCAGGTTCGATTCCTTCTGTCTGCCCTTTGGTTCATGTCATCCTCACTCTGTTTCTCCTGTGTTACTGTTTATCTTTACCGTCCCAACAAATAAAGCAGTTCTGAATAAAAGAATCTTAAAAAAAGACAACAAAAAGAAAACATAAAACAAAAAAACAACAACTAATCATTAATTCAAAGAAGAGTTTGAGCAGGATTGTTGTGTTGAACAGCACTGCCTTTGTTGGGTGTATCTAGCGGTCTGGTAAATGTAGAACCAGCAGAAGAGAGAAAATCCATATTTATGTGTATGTTCTGGAAAGTACTATTCAAAGATACAAATGTAGCCGCTCAAGAAGCCCCACTTTGGAGATGCTTGCTCACTGCTGTCTGAAAATATCCTCGAGCGCTGAAGCAGGACAGATGCAGGTCAGTTGCAAGTGTATTAAATTTGAATGAGAGAATACATAAATATATATAAAGTGAATATGTGTGACGAGCAGAGAGCGGGCCGGAGCTGTTCTCTGTTTCTGATGGAAACATCTCTCCTGTCACCCATGTGAGATTTCACGCTCATCTGCCTCCAGAGTTTCTCGGAGGCTAGACCGCCTTGCTGTCGCTTCCTGCTTACTTTATTCCTCTTCTTCTGTCTGCTTACTGGGCTGTCAGCCAAGCCAAAGTCACATTAAGAGATAGGAGTGGGCGGAGAAGGGAGACCAAATACCACATGCATTAGGGCTATTAATCAACATTAACAAATGCGAGGGAGAGACCGCAATTTTGGGAAAACACACGCACGGATGGGCGCATTTATCAAGGTGACACATTAAAACACACATTTACCAAAAAATACCATAATGTTTCATCTGGTGTCTCGCCAAAGGCAGAAAACGAAGTACAACAGCAGATGTCAGCATTTGTTGGATGGCCAGGAGTGGTGCGTTGGAGAAAACAAGCGAGTGGAGAATTCTTAATTATCTTGAGCGATCCAAAGTCCTCCCCTCGGATTACCCCCCCCTCCAACCAACACATTTCTTCATAACTGTGATATGTATTTTAGAATATCCAGGTTTCATTTTTGGATAGTGGATCCATTTTTGGTGGGACGGATGTAAAAAGAAAAAAGCTTTTCAAACAGCCCTATGAAGTTAAACACAGATTATAAATTCATCACAGGAACTTTAAATGGACATCAAACCTATTTGATGAAATGTGTTAGCAATACTGAACTTAATATCAAATGGGTTAACTGGATTTTTATGTAATTTGTCAACTTGTTTCAGTGTGAACAATCACTAAACATACCTCATATGTCAACATGGTAAGCATTTTAAAACAAACCTCACATTTAATTTTTTTGAGACAATTTAGACATTAGCCCCTTTAGTGTAAAAAGTACATCTGAACAGTCATCATACTTTATGTACATGTTGAATAAAATAAATGCTTCAGTAGAAGAAGAGACATGAAAGTGGAAATCCAAAGTAAGATGCCAGAACAACATCAGAAGCCTTTTTTATATTAAGAGAACTGTGAGGATGCTCTGGATACAATCATCCACAGCAAAACATAACTGTGTTTATAGAGGTATCAAGGTAATGACAGGATTGGACATCATCATTCAGTAGATAACTGTACAACGTGTCAGTCTGCCTAGTGAGTCTGGAGCTCCCTCATAATCTCATCATGAGCAGGACCAAGAGGTCTGTCCTAAGTTCAAGTGTCTCATGGACAGTCAAAAACTCAGGAAGTTTGGTTTTTAATGTCTGCAGTTGGACTCTCTACACAATACACAGGAACTGTATCTATCTGTGTATGTGTGTGTACAGAAGTTACAGACAGAAACAGAGCATGGATATGTCTTTCAAAATTAGTCTTTTCATATTTCTCATTAGCAAACTCTCTTTGAAACCAATGGCACGGATGTCAAGGCCCAGTGTGACTGTGAAATCGGGGCCAACAGTCATCAAAAAAAGACAAATGTGGCCCTCCCATCTGAGGCCAAACTCTTCTATAACCCCTCTGAATGAATGATGCATGCAGTATTCATCACTCGTTTTAGACAAGTAAGAAAGCAGAGGCTGTTCAACAAACCTGGTGTCAGGTAAAAGTTGACACAATGAGTCAATCCAAGAATTGATAATTCATCAGAGAAGTTTGAAAGGAATAATAGCTTTTAGAAAAATCTAATTTTCCCACTTTTGGTATTGAAAAGTTTTTCTCGGATAATGTCTGAATATTACATATTACAAAAAGGTGGCATGCGTTGATTTATGTGGTTTTAATTAGCCTGATATCAAGGACGAAATGTTTCATTAGCTCACAAAGATATTCACATACAAAGGTGTTTACTGGAATTTAGGATGAACTTTTAGGTCAAACAGTAAACCTGAAGTTTTATATCATCTTTTTTTTTGTGTCCGGATAATTATCCAGATAAAACAGACTCCAGTATACACTAAATGGAGCATTATCAGAACATTGAAAGGACAACATGATGAAGTGTTACCCCATTGTCCTATCTGCATTTGATATGGAAAATAAATATAATAATACTAATAATATATAAAGTTAAAAAGATAAGTAAATTCCGAATGACATGACGTAAATCATCATGAGCTTTAATGTAGAGATACAAATTGGTGAATGTTGAATAGTTAGTTTGCATCATTTCCCAACACCAGGTATCTTAAAAGTCACATATTATGCAGAATACACTTTACCATGTTTTTCTAACAATAATATGTTTCCCTGGTCTGTCTACAAAACCCCCAATTATTAGAAAAGTTCATCCTCTTCATCTTTTGCCTGCTCCACTTTTCAGAAAATGTGTGCTCAAACAGGCTGTTTGGAGATATTCCCTTTGTGACATCACAAAGGACAATAACCCCTCCACCAGGTGGGTGACACTCCCACAGCTTGGTTTTTGTTCTGCCCTCTGAGTCTGCCTTCTCACTGTAAACAATCGGGCATGGTGCAAAGAAGCCCGAGCCAACCAAGCCCTTTCAGAGGGGCGTGGTCGAAACAGCTCACTTGCATTTAAAGCTACAGACACAGAAACAACCTGTTCTGAGTAGGGCTGAAATAGATGGGTTTATAGGCATTATCAAATACAGGATCAGAATGGATTTATAGCAAGAAACTTCACAGACATGTTTTGTTGGAGACTTACAGTATTTTAAACTGTTGACCTTTAATGGGGCTGAGCATTAAAGGTAGAGACAGACATGGAGTCTGAAAGATGGAAGCTGCCTTTGCTGGATTGAACAAACTAATTTTATTAAACCCTTATTCGAGAGCTTGTTAGCTTTGAGCTTTTTCATAAATCCCTCAATGAATTACTTTGTGCACAATCATTAGAAAGAAAATGCCAGGGGACATACATGGGACAAAGAGAAAACAAAAAGAAGCTTGGGGGGATTCACTTGCGCTTGCTTGGCTCCCTACCATGTTAGCTGTAGCTTGATAAAAGGTGTACTAACTAGCTCTCTGATGATTCACTTCTGCAAGCTTGAAGGGTTTCCGTTGTCACTTGGCCACAAACAAGTTAAAATGTTTGCACAATTATGTTTTTGTTTTTGCTTATTTAGGTTAATAGCCTCTAACCTTGTTGTCCATATTGTGATCCTTGAGGTCCATAAGGGCCTGGCGGGCCGCTCTGGGAGTAGGGACCCATCCCAGGATACAATGGGCCCCCAGGTGAGGTCTGGGGGGACATAGGAGGTCCAGACTGAGGAGAAGCAAACTGAGAGCTAGACTGGTTCCTCTGCATGTTGGAAACAAATCCTGAAACACACAAGTAGACATAAAAAAGTAATGTCAACACATAGTCTAAAATACTAAAAGCAAACAAATCGAAAGAGCTCTTCAGTAGTGAATGTAGCAGGGAGATGTTGACCGAGAGATTAAAGTAGGGAGATGGCGATCATTCTCTAGCTCAACAAACAATGATATTCATACAATTTCCCCATGTACAGCCTTTTCTTTTGACTAAAACGCTAATCTCTTACCTAGGCATTGGCTCCTGTTACTCGAAGATACACATCATTAAATAATAAGGTGTGGGTATTAGATAAAAAAACTGAAACAAGCATGTAAAACGAACCTCGAGCACAAATAAACACAAGCAGAAGCTTTGCTGTACTTTACTGATGGCCAAAGCAGAGGTCAAGAGTCACCTGGCCTCAGAGATGTATATACCTAAGATGAGTCCACGTGTTTATCTGTGTGTATGTTTCAAAGAGTGGACATGAGCCACTGAAAAAGAAGAAAGAGCTGTGCTCTACTCTACACAGAATAGATGATTTGACCATGACTCCTATGTTATTCTAAGCCGTCCTGTCAATAGATGTGTCAAAGCCTCTTAGGCCCAAACTCGCATCCACCATTCAAATTGACATTTGGAGCAATTCTCGCTTGGGCTTCGCTCTTTCAAGCTGTCCTGTTCATTTTTTAAATCCACAGAAAGGTCTTCCAATCCGCCACGAATAGGGAAAGGTCGCTGGACGGCCATTGAGGGAAAAAGAGAGGGTGTCTGGGCATGTGTGTTTGTGTGAAGGGGGATTCAGTATTGCAGATTAGGTGAGAATGGATTGGGCCCCCTAGGCTGTAAACTTTGATAGCTATCCGCTTTGTTGAATGAGTGCGCATACACTGACTATTAAGTGAGTTTGGGGTTTAGGGTAACGACTGAGTTGGAGGTTGCAAGTTGACAATCCTTTTTTCTGCTAAGAGAGCTCGAGAAAATGTGAGGATGGAGAACGGAGTTAAAAAATGTGTATACTATATGCTGCTGTGCACATACATGCATGAACACATTTGTGTTTCTGGCTGTGTTGGGGGAGATAACTGGGAAAGAGCGCAATAAACGAGTGTGTGTTTGTGTATGCATGGAAAAGTAAGAGATTGAGACAGAGGTAGAGGCAGTGAAAAGAAAGTGTGTGTGTGTGTGGGAGGGAAAGACAGTGCAATGGAGGGAAAGAGCGATTGGGGCCTGAAAGTGCTTAGGCTGCGAGTGCTGGGTTTAAGGAGCGAGGACATTATTGTAATGTTTTGCTTCCATTAGGGTAAGGGGATTCTGGAGAGGAGGAGAAAAAAATTACAGTGTGTAATATCGCACTTTAAATTGCCTGGAAAATGGATGAGGAGAGGAACATTGTGCAGACAGTGCTAAAAGCAAATAACACATTCAAGGATTTCTCTCTCTCTGCTTCGTTCCCTTTCCCTCTCCACACACATGTAAACACACACACACACACACACACACACACACACACACACACACACAAACCCTTTTCTCATTCTGGCAAAGCGAATGAAGCTCTCAGCCGGACAACAACAACAGGCAGCCGGTGAGGCACGCGAGAGACACTGGGGGGGAATAAGGGACATTCAGCGGATTTATGGAAATGAAGAGTGGAGAGAGGCTCTTAGGGAGGCAGGCACTTGAGCAAAGTGGGGCGTGTGCGTTGTGGAGGTGGGGGGGGGGGGGGGGGTAATCCTAGCTAGGAAAACAGCGAAAAAACAACCGCAAGCCCTGTTAGCCAGCGCTGAGTTTTCCTGGACTGGGCTGGGGAGGGCCGGAGGTTTACAGGCATTAGAGAGCTGCATTAAATCTCCAGCTTGATTTCATCCTGTCGGGGGAAACAACATTTTACACTGCCCCTCTCTCTCTCTCTCTCTCTCTCAATCTTCATCCATCCACTCCCTCTGTCTCTCAGGTGTTAACTGCTCTTCAGTGGATGATAGAGTGGAGGCATCACAGTCATTCCATTAAGGTTACTTCCCAGTCTTTCAGGGTTTTTTTTGCAATGATATGTGGATGCTGATCCCCCCCCCCAAAAAAAAAATATAACAACTGTGCTGTTTTTAGTCATACTTCAGAAGTGGATTGAATTGCTGAAAGCAATTTCTCTTTTGGTGAGCACATGTGGCCTGTGGGTTAGCATTCATGTGACACAGGTGTCAAAAATGAAGTGGCTTTATCAAACGAGAACATAGTCAGACTTGAACTTGATAGATTAATGACTTAATGTTTACTGTTACATACTTCGGGTTTCCCCATGAACTTGGCATGCTGATAATGAAACTCTATGAATGACATTCTAAAATACTATATGGCGAATATGGCGAAGGTGTTACCAGACAGAAGTTTGTTTTGGTTTCATACTGATGGTCAGGAGTGTATCTACTAGATCAAAAAGTTGCACGCTCTTCCTTAATTGACTAATTGTTGCAGCTCTAATTCAATCCTTTACATGTGTAAACGTTTGTTTTCTAAGTTATTCTATTGCAAGGTTTGCAAACAACTAAGTTTCCTTCAATGAAAACTTTGAGATAAACATGAACATGCGCACGCAGCACATGCTCCATACTACAACCTGCTTCACAAGGATAAAACACCAAATCCTCTCACTGTCAGGGAAAGTACACACACACACACACACACACACACACACACACACACACACACACACACACATACCTCTGTCCTGAGGCATAGGTGAGCGGTTGTTTGGTGGGTGAGCTCCATCTGGTCCGTTCCCAGTGTTCTGTGGGGCCATAGTGGGACCTGCAGAACAACATGAGGAGTCAGGTATTCACTTGATGAAGCTCTGACTTGTCACATTTCAGACTTAAAAAAAGTTCAAGCCTGACTTTGTAATAAAAGCGGTCATATTATAATAAAGATGTTTTGCATGAATTCAATCCGCGACTTTGCATGAAAGAGAGGTCAAGTGAAAAATTGATGTATTTTTCCCCCGATTGCCTGCCTTGCTTGAAAATGGAAGAAAACTGCAGGAACAACAAGGCACTGAAGAACCACTTTAGACTTTCTCTCGCAGTTTATTTCAATTGCACAGAGGTAACCTAGTTCAAAAAAAATGTCTGCCATTTGACTGCTGAAAGAATAAAAGACAAATTCTTATTGAGGTGAAAGTTTTGTTTGGACTGAGGCTGATCTTGACTTCTTCCAGCCGCTCAGCACAATCACCACACGTGAAGTTGTTTGTGGTTCACTATTAGCTAAAAGACAAATGCAGCTCCAGAGGACATATCAAGTCATCAGACCTTGGGCCACTATCTTGTGTAAGCACAAAAACCAGAGTGATCCCGATAGAAAAACCATAGCCATCTGAGGTTCATTGATCAGGTGCTTGTGCAGGTCTTTGGGCTGCGCCTGTTCCATTGAAATCCAATAGTGAGCTGAGAGTCTGATTAGGACAATGGCAGACAGAGACTGTGGTGAATTGATTTGGCCCAGAGGAAGGAGGAAGATGGCAAATTAACCTTTTATCTTTGGCTTCAGACCTGAGACGACGAAGAGAGGAAGAGACAAGGGGTAAAGGGTTTGGTTTGTTTCAAACTGCACTGGTTGCGGTGAATGAAGTTCAAATCCTATAATTATACTGTCACACAAAGCATAACAAGTGATATTAGAGATGTTGATGCTATTCAACTGCACATGTTCAACTATGATTGTCAGCAATTACAGTGAATGATTTGACTAGCACCCATAGGCATAGAACCATGTGCCAAAATAAATTGTTTACTCTGGATGAAATATTATGTAGTACAGGAGTGCTGCATGAACACAATGCTGCTGCTACAGTGTCTTTAAAAGTCACAGTGAATATAAATCCATTATTATAAAGGAAACACTTCACATTATTCAATCACATAGCAGAAAGGGTTCTGCTCCGAGAGGTGTGGGTGGGTGTGTGTGTGTGTGTGTGTGTGTGTGTGTGTGTGTGTGTGTGTGTGTGTGCGCGTAATGTGTCTGTCCACAGTAGCATTAATACATGACTGGAGGTGGCACACTCTCCACATAAACAAACCCAATTAAGTCAACATAATTGCTTTGCATAAAACTGCATAAACAACATTTCCATACACCCTGACGCCTACACACACACACACACACACACACACACACACACACACACACACACACACACACACACACACACACACACACACACACACACACACACACACAAACATACACACTCACACGTGAAAAAGTAATTGGACAAACAAGTATAAATCAACACACTTTAACACACAGGAAAACATCCGTAATGGAACAAAAAGATTCACACACACACACAAACACACACAGCTACACACACACAGACTCACACTTGAATAGATCCAGCAGCGCTACTTCAAAGAGGGAAAACACCGTTAGTTTGTCTGTCACAGTTTGCTGGGAGGGGGGGGGTAATGTCAGTGTGCAAATGCTAAAAAGAAAAAAAAAAAAAGCTAGCTAAATGCTTCTATAAGCTAAAGCAGTGTTGGTGGTAAAAGCAGCACAACTTAATAAACTCCATAAAAAGTATAAATGGAGCCTCTGCTAACATGTCACAATGGACTGATTTATTATTCGCTATGATATAAAAAAAAGTGATTTTCATCATTATTTATGGTGCAACTGTACATTTAATATTTCTACATTAAACCTTCAAAGTAATTCACAAACAAAGGTTGATGAAATTGTTCATATTTACAACCCCTGACTAAATGTTCTTAGTTGTTGTTTACGTCAGGTCTGTGGTATATGTGTGTATGCAGCTGTGTGTGGGAAAACACATCCTCCACTCTGCATGTGCACCCTCATGTGTCCATGTTCTGCTTCAGCGCATGCATTCACACTTCACTGTACTTTTTTGTAGATGTAGATTGTGTTTATGTGTCTGACTAGAGCAGCCCAAAGCCCCATGTAGAGGGGTCATGGCTACTTGTTGCCAGAGGGATGTTTATCGCTGCAGCACGAGTTCGGATCGCTAGATTGATAGTGAGGATGAAGTAGGCTAGCAGGAGTTTAGTGAACCCTTAAACTATGGAAGTCGACCCCTACAATACAGGCTCGCCTTTGAGTGTGAATGTGTGTGCGCGCGGAGATGCATGCCAAGCACCAGCCATGCTGTCAGACTCTGTTTGTTTGGATGGCAGAGTAGTGGTGGCAACAGCTTGTACTGTGTGTGTGTGTGTTTGAAGGTACAAATAGGGAACAGTGCCCTCCATGCTCCACTACTCCCTCCACATACCCATGTAAATTGTCACTTGAGATGAGATTGATGCAAAAGAGTGCATTTGTGCTTGTGTGTGTGTGTGAGAGAGAGAGAGAGAGAGAGAGAGAGAGAGAGAAAGATGAGCATAAAAAAAGAACTCATTTGTTGAGAAGAGGGAACTGAAAAACAGATGAGAGAGGAGAGGTAGTATAGTTGAGTCTGACTCGGCTGCAACCCCTCTTTCTCTCACTCACCAGGATGAACGAGTGAGACTCTGTAATTATTTCACTAACAATTACTGTCCAAACAAAAGCCTCTTCTCACATTTTCACATTTCCTCGCTTGCTTTCCTGCTCCTCTGCTGTCCTCTCCTCTCCTCACTACCATTTTTAACAAGGTGCCATTAAATAATTACGTCCAAATAAAACAAACAGGCTCCTCGGTGAGTCCTGGCACGTTTAATCTGTACCATTAATAATTCATACGCTGAATCTTTGACGTGCAGTACCGCTCCTCTTGCTGGTAAGAGAGTGTGAGAGAGAGCTAAATGTCAGCAGGAGCTGACTGTATATCTTTCCCCGTCCACAGAATAAAAAATGAGAGTCTTTTCTTGCTATGAATGAAAATGTACAACAAATAAATGGTAAGGAAATGCCTCCACCATCCTGATATTCTTCTTCTGGATGTTTTTAAGCTTGACTGGCTGTAAAGCATGTACAATATATAACTTTCTGTAACAGGTGTGCCAGTGCATGTTCATTTTTAAGTGACTTATTAAGGGGTCTGCTCCCTGTTTACATATTTATGATCAGTGTGGTTTCTTTTTGCCTTTAAGTCTTGGAGTAGCTATGTTTGCATGTGCAGGAGCCTGAACGGGTCTGTTCCCTCTATGTTCGTTACTTCTACTGATAGTGATCCCATAGGTGCATAACACAATTAGCACATGTGGCAATCAGAGGCTTAGTATTAAAATACTGTCCCTCAGCTTCATCTTGATCTGCTGTCTGCAATTTACACCTCCATAAGCCCAGCTGAGAGCAGGCATATAAACACACACAGTACACACGAATGAGAATGATTGCATAAAAAAAATCCCTGCCGCTCGTATTCATAAGCATTCACTTTTGTTGGAACCATCATTCAGAAGCAATGTGCTTTAAAAAAGAAAGTGTGGTTCATCTCTTCTTTCAAGCTAGATGTTTAAGTTGAAATCCAGCATCAGACGGGAGAGCCAACCTATGCTGTGTTCATTTGAAACACTGATCAATCAGAGGCCACTAGCCTTTACAGATGAACAGTTCTTATGTTGTTAAGGTGGAGTATCTGGGGCCAAGCAGAAGCTATATATCACGTAGGTGCTCTTTTGGAATGCAGCGCTGAAGAGTCAAATGTCAAATAACAGTTATTTCCTCTTTATTAAAAAAAAAAAAATCACTTAGCGAGCATAGACATATTCTATGCTTTCCTCATGATAAAACACAGCAGGGCCAGGAGTAATGGGAGTTCATTGCGTTTTTGGAGATAATGCTTCTCGCTAAAAACCCAGTACACATTTTTAAATTTCTCCTCTGCAAGGACTGTCGAGGCAACCCTGAGTCTCCTTTGAAGAGAGCGAGTGTGGTCTTTGAAGCTTTTTTTCATCAGGGTTTCAAACGCAAATGCAGAGGAAGTTCAAAGCCAATGAAGAGGACTTGTGGCCATATTTCTGTTTTGTTTCAGGGCCCTGGTTATATTAAGCGTAGAAACCTCAGTTTGTGTGTGTGTGTGTGTGTGTGTGTGTGTGTGTGTGTGTAATGTCAAGGAAGGAAAGTCAACCTGAGAGTTAATAGGAAGACCTTTATTAATTGCTGATAAACGGAGGGTGCATTAGCTGACGTGTGTACATGGTTGCAGGGACGAGCAGGTACATGCATACACCAATATGCAGCAATGCCTTTGCATGCTTGCACATGCACGTTCACACATGTATACCAAACAACAAACCCTTACTGTTTCTCACAAACACAGCTCCTCTCAAGCAGCAGGGCCCACTTTAGCGAAAAGTGAACTAACGGTGGTGAGTACTAATAGGCCGGTGTAGAATATAAAGAAAGGGCTGCTTCAGCACCATCACTTTAAACAACCCTTAGGCTGTAAATGCACACACACACACACACACACACACACACACACTGCACCAACCAACGCACTAAAAGGCACTCACACACACCAAGGTAATATCCCCTACTTGCCGTGTCTTTAGGGGAAAGAGGCAGATAAACAGCGGGCTCCAATAATGGTGGTTTAGATCTCAATGGGTGCGAGTCAATGCCTCTCCAAGCCGGGGGCTAATGCCAGTTAACTCTCCCTGTAGGGGACGAGCGCAGGCCTAGAGTGGCTCGCAAAACAGGCGCTCTCCCAAGATCCTCATTACTTCCAATGCTGAGTAGAAACTGTAAGTAAAGCAAAACTGCAGCTTAAGCTAAAAAACAGCAAGCAGGATGCGGGGGAGAGGGAGAGCGATGGAGTGAGAGAAAGCAAGAAAATAGGTGTCAGGGAGGGAAATAATTGCGCACTG